TTAGAGGCAAGAAGCGCCGCGGATAAGGAATTTTCATCGTTCCGCCTTCTCGTCGCCTTATCTGTCGACGAAATCGGGACGCACATCGTCCGTCCATACTCCCCGATCGTTTCCATCCGCTCTCTCACAATTTGCCCGGGTCAGAGATCGCAAAAAATGCGCGGTGGTGACCTCGTAAAGAACGTTGATGCAGGCGAAGAAACGTAGCAGCAGCAACTAAGTAAACAAGTGGTGGCGATAATGCCAGTTCAGGAGAAGTGACGAAATGCTGTAACAGCCGTATTTCAGTGCAGCAGTCGCGTTTATTTCTTCTTCTATTTTCTCTCACTCGGCTCGAAGTTGGCAAACGGAGCCACAGATGCAGTCCCATTAACGCAGCCTTTAGGTGAAATTTCAATTATTATTATTATTATTATTATTATTATTATTATTATTATTATTATTATTATTATTATTATTATTATTATTATTAGCCGGCCACCTTGGGCATCTTGAAATAATATATGGTCTACCGAACGCGCGCGTTTCGTTATGTCGCTGCCTCGCAGGTCATCAAAGTTATGAGGTGAAGCCTACTCAAATAATCGAGCAATATTCGGAGTTTGCACAAGGAGCATTATGAAAACGTGGGATAGGAACCGATATATCTAGGCAAAACTACTCATTGTTGCATGTGATTACAAATCGAGTGTCGCCCATCTATATGTTGCATTGCACGGTTCTTTCCCGACCCCTATGCCAATGTCTTTTATAGGCTGCCTTGCTTCAGCATCAGTGATACAACTCCACGCCGTGGTTATAAACCAAAGCAAAACGAATGGTACTTTTACTACCTTACTTGATCACCATCATCGTCATCATAATCATCATGAAGGTATTTCTTGACACAGCCTTCTAACGTAATAGTGACAAAGTTGTAGTCGCTTAGACTGTATTATATTACGATAAGGTGTGGTTTTATCTATTGGTACTCCACGATACTTTCTGTTCCCTCTTTCCTGATAGAACCTTCTACAATATAACTTTATCTAGGCATGTAACAACACCGTCTCTATCATTCTCTTAGCTTATCGTTCCTTGCCCCACCGCGGTGGTCTAGTGGCTAAGGTACTCGGCTGCTGACCCGCAGGTCGCGGGATCGAATCCCGGCTGCGGCGGCTGCATTTCCGATGGAGGCGGAAATGTTGTAGGCCCGTGTGCTCAGAATTGAGTGCACGTTGAAGAACCCCAGGTGGTCTAAATCTCCGGAGCCCTCCACTACCGCGTCTCTCATAATCATATCGTGGTTTTGGGACGTTAAACGCCACAAATCAATCAATTATCGTTCCTTTTTTTTTTGTCACCGATATCTGAAACGTCGATTGCTTCTACCAACCACTGAAGGGTAATAGTGTCATCCGGCTCAAAACATGCACACAAAGAACGCAGCAGAGGCTCCCAAAGAAGCGACAGGGCTGTGTTGCCGAGTTTTCCACCGCTCAAAGTTGTGAATTTAACGTTCCCCCTGACAAAAATGACGCGCATACGTGTCCCGTCTGCCAACCTGCCAGGAAGGTTCCAGTCAGCCAACGCCAGCTCGACAAACGTGTGTCCTTCTGAGGGGCATGTCACAATACGAGCACCAAGAGTGACAAGGGACGCTTGTAATCGCGACGCAACAGCGCTGCACCACACGACGACAAAAAAAAAAAAAAAAGTCAGTCAGTCATCTGGAAGTCGACTGCTGACTGAATGATTGACAGGGACGTCACGCCGTATGAAATGACGTCACCGCAGCCGACAAGGTCTTCTCGACCTGGAGTTGGCAAGGTGGGATTCGAACCCGGCCGCCGGAGATACGCGTCGGCAGAAGCCTTGAGGCGCAGAAGGACGTAGCGGCAAAAAAGGTGAAACAAGTAGAACGAGCAGCGTGCGGAAACAGGAAAGGTTCCGTCATCTTCCATGTTTTGGTCCTTTCTCTCGTCTCTATTTTTTTTTTTTTACGCGTGTGTCGGCTGTCGAGCCGAGCCGAGCCAAGCCCGAGCCAGCGGCTGGAGACCAGACATGTCGTCTGCTTGAGGGGACACGGCGAGGGCCTGCTTCTGTGAAGGAGGCGGCGGGAGCAAGCGAAAGCGCCGCGTCGGAAACGAGGAAGAAGACGGAGAGGAAGGAATCTAAAAAACGCGTCCAAGGTGAAGAGGAAAACTTCGAGGAAGCGGCGTTCCAACCTTCCGGAAGTAATCAAGAACACATTTCCCCTCCGCCCGCCGTGGCACGCCGCGACGCGCGAGCAGCCGTACGGCGGAAGGAAGGAAGGAAGACCGTGAAAAGTAATTTTTGAGAATTCGTTTTTTTTTATTATTATTATTATTCAAAATTTCGACGCCTCCTCCGGCCCGGCGTCTTCTCACCAACAGAAGTCGCGGCGTTCTGCAAGCGAGGGGGCGCCACCATACGTCGGCCGCGTGATAAGCCTCCTAGAGAAGCGCCCGCGGATGATTAAGAAAAAAAGAAATGTGGAGAGGAGGATCTGATCTGAGTTGAAGAGCGCGAAGACGCCGCTTGTTGCGGGGGTGGCTCGCCTGCGTCGCATGCCCCCTGTCCGGAAGAAGAAGAAGATGACGAAGAAGCTGGCATCAAGGAGGAAGTCGGGCTCTATTTATAAGAATACGAAACTAGGAGGAACGTGCGCGCATCCCACCGGCGGTGTCGCACGGGAGTGGGAGGCTGCTGGGTAGCCAAAGACAGGGAGGGACTTTTTTTTAAGAAAAAAAAAGAAGAACGTGAGTAATTAGGGAAGAAGAGAGAGAGAGCGTGCGACCTAGAAGCCACGCTTCTTTTAAGAACTTGAGAAATGAAATTCCGCCTGCCCCTCAAAAAAAAAAAAAAAGAAGAGAGAGAGCGGGAGAGAGAGATCACCAAAAGACCCTGCAGCTTGCACGACAAGCGGAATGAAAAGAGGAAAAAAAAGAGGGCGGGGGGGGGGGGGGAGTGAAGTGGGATTTTAGGTTCAAAGTCAGAGAGTAAAAAAGTAAAAGAAAGCGAGACTTGGTTTTAAAAGAGCGTGAGCCAAGCACGTGGCATAAAAGAGAAGACGGGGAAGCAGCCGCGTTTAGAATGTTTTGGTGGCCATTTCTTTCTCTTTCGAGTTTTAGAAACCCTCGCGCCGGTGCTATAAGCGCGAGCACAGTAGTCAACCTTGTGGTATACCTCGGGCTAAGGGAAGCTATACGGCGCGTCCTCCAGATAGATGGATGAATGAATAGGAGGCGCGAGATAGAGGCAAGTAGAGGGCCGCAGTACTCGGTCGCGACAAGATGCCGCCCCAAAACCTTCCGGAACATGGCCTCCGAGATGGCGCGCCCGCTATCTCGGAGGCCATGTTCCGGGAGATCTTTTAAGTGAAGCGCACATGCGGTTCGAGTCAGTCGGTTGCAGCCCCTACGTCCTGGACCACATCACCCCCTCCCCCCTACCCCTCTATACCTGTCTATTTGGGACTCGCTCGCTTCAGGAAAAAAAAAAATGGTCCCCACGAGGATAGGATGACTGCATGCACGCGCGGCTGGACGACAGCTTCCGGTTCCGGCGTGATCGCACTAACGCGCGCCGCCGAGAAAGAAAGTGGAAAGAGGTTGGAGGAGGAGGAGGTGGCGGCGGCGAAATCATCTTTGGGAAAAAATGAACCACGGGTTCCAACTATTTCTAGCGTTGGTGCTGTTATTTTTGTTTTCCTTTGTTTATTTCGACCGCTTCAATAGATTGTAAAAGCGATGAAGTATATGGTAGGGAAGGCCCCGCCGCGGTGGTCTAGTGGCTAAGGTACTCGGCTGCTGACCCGCAGGTCGTGGGTTCGAATCCCGGCTGCGGCGGCTGCATTTCCGATGGAGGCGGAAATGTTGTAGGCCCGTGTGCTCAGATTTGGGTGCACGTTAAAGAACCCCAGGTGGTCAAAATTTCCGGAGCCCTCCACTACGGCGTCTCTCATAATCAAATGGTGGTTTTGGGACGTTAAACCCCACATATCAATCAATCAATCATATGGTAGGGAAGAAGCGGGGTATCGTTCGATAGGTATTTGATGCTGCGAGCATACAGGGCACACCTCGTCTGCCATTGCACAAGAGGCGTTTTTCGTGTCGTACATGCACAATGTACGCCATCCTTGAATTTGTAGGACATGGTTTAGGACAAGTTGGTTCATCGCCTGTCCTGTACGCCTCCTGCTGGCGTTCTCGTTTCCTTGGCACTCCTTTGTTCCGAACGGATTTCGAGCGCAAACATGGGGGGCATAACCTCCAATAAACACCATAAACGTTAAGCTGGGTTACTGTGCCATATAAAAAAGAGCTAGATGAAGTCACGCTGCATTATGGCACTCCGAGGCAATGCTCGAGCTCGGAATCTTCATCAGAAGCAGTGCCATCTGCATTGACCGTCCATTTACGAGAACATCCGAGCTTATGGATTCTTCTCCGGGTCAATCATTGCGCGTTCGTATCTTCCGTGGGAACATCCCAGCACGTAAGAGGCACAGCACCAGCTGGTTTCACAAGTATCGCATTTAATTTACCCTCGTCTCAAGTAAACTTGCGCCACGATATCATGTAGATCCGATTTAACTCTCTACTTGAAGCAGAACAATCGATTTCGTATAGTTTTCATTTCCGACGTTACTTTTTTTTCTGGAGATTCGAAAAAAATCGCCAGTGAGGGCTCGAGCGGAAGTGCTTGGAAAAGAAACAAGTGCATCACTCGTCGATTGAGCCCCTAATAATCAGATATTGCTTAACACGTGCGATATTATACGATCATCTCTACAATGAGCGGCAATCTCATCCGGGGTTCAGTTATGATTATTTCCTTCGTTTTATACGAAGTCATTTTTTTTTTTTGCGCGAGCCAGTGTCTTTATCGTAGTGACGTATATTGTCAACACCTGAACTATTTTGCGCATGAGTGCTGTTCTATCTGCTGTCGACAAGAACGCTTACGTTTTTGTCTCTTTCTGTCTTCCACAGAGATCCTTCACGCTCATCTTGGAGGCGCTGCACCACAACAACTACACTGAACCCTGTGAGTACACTGCACCGGCTTTCGATGTCGATACCTCTACGATACGAGGTTACAGCCTCAGAAATGAGTGTGAGCCATCGCTGTTCATCTCACAGAGAAATCGCGTGAGTGCGCCGTCCAATTGAGTTTACGTGTTTTTGTGACGTCATGATATTCAGAGCGTTTCAGATAGATGAGATTACCGCACAGATTGACGTTTCTGTCGTAGGGTTCGGGTCACAGAACTTGAACCTTTTGGTAAATTTTGTCACTGATTCTCAGCGAAACGTTATGCTTTACATATTAACGACGAACCTTTAGCTCTTAATAAACGTAGTAATTACATTAGCCCGAGAATTAGTACTTATGGTAAGAACGGAAATCAGCTAGCCTGACTGTTTTTCACAGGGGACGGGCAGGCAAACCGCAGTTGTGTGGGCGGAGGTGTCATTCTTTTTTATACCCCTGTCACACGGGCACTTAAAAGTCTTTTAAGGAAGCGGTCTTTTTCCGAAAAGGAGTTCCTGACAGCAGACACACGGCGCGGAGCGAACTCCTTTTCAGAAGCGGTCTTTTTCGTAAACGGAGTTCGTCGATCTCTTTTACGGCTCCGAATGAGTAGCCTCGAAACCAGTGGGCGCCAGCAATTTTTGAGGGGTGGGAAAAAAAAGATCGAATGCTTATTTTTCTGTCACCAAAACTCTTTGTAAAAACAAATTTTATATTCTGCAGAAGGTGTAATGAACTCTTTTAATGGTTATTTCCTTTTCTACTCTCGTAAGCAGCTACAATGCGTCGGCAATATCACGTGGTGACGCTCGGTCTCGCGCTGCGCCATTTTGCACAAGTGTTTCTTCATCTCTTATTCTTAAATTTATTTGAAGAAACTAGTAGTGCAACAAGTCTTTAATTTGTACATCGTGATACATTGTTTAATTTTCATTGCTTCTCTTTTAACTGCTAGCGCCACGCTTTCGCTAGCGTCTTCGAACGAAAACACTAAAGGGAGATCGTTGCTGCCGTGTGTCTGCGCCGTTTGTTAAGAGTCTTTCAACTTCGTAAAAGACCGCTTACTTAAAAGACTTTTTGCGCGCCCGTGTGACACAGGTATTAGCTTGTAACTGAGAGAGAGAACACAACTTTATTGTTAGGTTGCAACTGAGCCTCAGTGACTTGTTACGCCTCTGCGTGCAACGCAGAAAGAGTCGTTCACCTGCCAAATTTGCGAACACGGTGAAGGTTAAGGCCGATAGAGGTTTACCCGTGCCGGGGGGTTATCTCCGCAAAAGGCACCGGCGGCGACAGGAATTCAGGTGCAAATGCGAACGGACATTTCTGCGACGGCTGCAATCGACACCGCGTCGACGCAAGAGCTCGCCGCAAGAGGTCGCCGCATAACTGTCAGACACGAGAACATCATAGAAAACATTGCTCACGAGCCACACACGCAGAAGTAGCGCGCTTTTCCCGTTCACACGGGGGAAAAAAAAAAAAGCCCCTTCAAGCAGAGAGAAATTAATGGTCCGTTTTCGTGCCGAGGGTAACAAAGAGCCGCTTTCTTTTGTTCTACGCGAAACGCAGTCTTCGTCAGTGACGTGTGAGCACGTCTTCGTGTCGCCTTCGTCGTCCTCAACGACTTGCACGGTGAAAGAGACAAGGACGACAAAACATAAAGGAACGCACATTCAAAGGTTATACGCGCACCGGCTAACGACGCGGAGAGCGTGGAATACGCTTTTCGGATACTGCGAATTTCGCCGAAACCGCAGCGAAAAGGAAGATAAGTGAGTAAAGAGTGAATGTAAATTAGCAGCAGCATGCGGGGGAAAAGTCGTTTTTGCGGAATGCAGGGAGCGGGGCGCACTGCCGAGGAGCGATAAGCGAGCGCGCTCCGCCGACAGCGCCACCGCGCGATCGTCGATAACATCAGCTCCTCCGCGGAGGGACACTCTCTCTAAAAAACCCCCGAGACAAATGAATCTACTCCCTTTTACTTCACTTGTCTAGTCCAGTGTCCCTCCTCTCCCTTTTAAGCAGTCTCGCTTTGCACGGGCCACCCCCTCACCCTGAACCTGGTTATTTCGGGAATCACCTGAAGGTCCTTTCCACGTAAGACGGAGCACCTCGGCTCGTCGCATGCTCCAAACGACGGCATTTTTTTTCTTCACCACGTGCGTGTGTTTTTTAATAGTTGCTTTACTTTTTTTTTACGATTCTCCCAAATTTACGCGGTTTTCTGCTCGAGAAGTCCACGTTACGACTTCTAGCCTCTCTCGTTTTTCTCTTCGAAAAAAAAAAAAAGCATACCGATGTGGCTAAGAAGCGAGAGACCGCGTATGCATATGTATAAATGCGACTGACTGCAAGCAGCAGCTGTAACCGACGTTGCCCCCACCATGTCTTAACGAGTGGTGAGTCTGCGGCGATGTGCGACCACATAGACGTAGCCCTATCTTATCAGCTGTGAACGAAAAAGAAACTCTTCCATCAGACGCCGCTTGTCGGGGACTACTTGGTCATGTCGTAATCGGGACGAGGATCTGCTTCAAAAGTCACCCTTTCAGTCCCACTCTTCTGTCACTTCTGTTCTTTTTTTTTTTCTTCCTTCTGAGAACTGTTCACTTTCTTCTAGCAAGAACCCCAAGTGCGTAAAGGGAACGGCTTCACTAGAGACTTCGCGCGCGAAAGCAAATACACACGAAAGAAGCAGCGTAAAGAAAAGCTTTAGTGTGCGTCGTCTAAGTGCGGTCCTGGAGTACTTACACGGGTCGTCAGCAACTAGAGACTATTTCAGAAATCGAGGCCCATCGCTGCCTGTATTACGCGCTTTCGTTTCCGTAATTCATGTTTCTTTTTTCTATTTTTTGAGCCATTAACGTGAGCTCCCAGATGCCACGGCGTGTCTATGGAGATAAGGTTTAAATCGCAAAGCTTAATCTCCGCAGGGTCTACGGATATTCTGCGGTTAATGTAGCGGAAAAGAATTGCGCCAGCGTTTTCATGCGGCGGATTTCGTCATATACTTTACAGTGTTTCGTGCGGTGATGCTTCGATGATAAGGGGACGAACCGAAAGCTTAGATCGCGACAATCAGAAATCGGCCGAATGGCTGACTCGAAGATAGAGGTCTTCGGGTTCCTGTGTTGTCTATACCAGTGCGATGTAAATCTCCTACACGTCGAAAACGGCTGCCTATCACACGTCTCATTTAACCTAACAGTGAGGCAGTGGAGATGCGATTGCTGTAAATTATTTAACGGACGATCGATTATCATTTGACAATCGATCGCCGTGCGTGTTAATTTCTCTTTCTCTCTCTCTTTTTTGTCACTTGTAAAGTTAAAACCAACTAGCCCAACTTTCAACATTAACCAGGCACTCCACTTCTGCGTTTTTAGAACTTCCAGACACTTGCAAACAGCCCTGCTTCGTGTATATATATGTTTAAGGTTAGTTTATGAAAACCAGCAATGATGACGTTTCGGATCACTTCAAGATGAACTCCAGTAAATGAATTGCTATGCTTAGAACTTGTGCATGATGACGAACGCTAAAGTGCATCGCCTCAAAAACGAAATGCGAAACGCTCGACTAACTTTATAATATAGCACACTTTAACTCCGCACGCTTCACAAGTTCCACTCGGAGCTAGCATGTAGATGGTCGACACACAGACTCGAATGACATCCCTATACCCGGTACAACGAAGCCAATGAATACCTTCCTCGCCGATGTCAACGCAGTAATGGCGTGCCCATACGTTTATTGCGAACGTCGAATACAACGAATCGCGCTAAAGCAGGTTTCCACGTAACGCACATAACAAAACGCCGGATACAACGAAGTGAACGTGAATACTATCTATCCGATATCAACGGGTCATACCACGTTGAAACGTTTTACAAACGAACGTAGACTGCAACGAGTCTATCTTATAATGCAGGGTGTCACTATATGGTTTAGGACTTGCACATAAGTCGGCCGAGTGTTACCGTGATCGGCGTTTTATCGAATAGCGGAAAATCGCCGCATGCCGGGAGCATATGGTGTCGGCATTTTGGTACCGGTGGAAAAAAAAAGGCTCTGACAGCCAATCTACGTTAACGGCTAAAACGTGGGCCCCCATACCAAACACAGGGAGACAAGGGGGGGGGGGGGGGGGGCGCATGTAGCATCACACACAAAGAAGTTCTCCAGTTTGTCGAGCGGTCATCGACCTGTCAACCCTGACCTTGCACCACGTGGTACTTTGGGCAGGAAAAAAAAACCCCTCAGTTCCTCTTCTCAACGTGGAATTTTTTCCCATATTTGTCTTTCCCCAACTGCGATATATGCAGGAGCATCCTGCACACTGTTCTTTTTTTCTCCTCTCTGTTATATTTATATTCCCGGTGTTTTTTCTTTCTTCTTTTTCGCATCGTTGTTTTGCCGGCGGGGGCGTGCAAACACGCGGATGCACTACATGCACGGGCGCGCAAACCGCGTAGCACGCGACACGGACGCATACACACACACAAGACAATCGCTCACACACGCAATAGCCGACGCCGCACAGAAAAGAACCTGTCGTTTGTAGGGGGGTAGCATGATGTGGGGAGGAGGAGGGAGGGGGTGTTGCTTGTCGCATATGCACTCATACGCAACGCCTTTCTTTTCTTTTTTTTTCCCCTTCTTTCCTTCGTCTCATCTGTGGCGGGGATGGCCGACCACGACAATCCCAAAATAATAACCGTCCCGATCGCTTGTTGCCCGCACATTCGCGCCCAGCAGGTCCTACGGGTACCTTTTTTTAGGGAACCCGGAAGAAACACCGGTTCCCCATCTATAGCTGTTAGTGTAGGGAGCCGAGACAAGTAGTAAAAAAAAAAAGTCAGTTGTTGCTGTCAACTTCCGGCGGGCAACCGGCGATACCCCTCCGCGTCATCCTGTCTGTATACGTGTATACGCTATACAGCAACTGAATAATGCACGCTCAAACACCCACGCCACGCTTCGAGAGGGCGCGCACACGAACGCTGTCAACCTTGGCTTACGTACCAAAGGCGCCCGGGGTCAAAGGTCGAGTGGGTCGCGAGGGATGAATCGTCGCTGTTTCGCGTGTTCCGTGAAACGCGTCGCTCTTTCCAGATTATTATCTTCTTTATACAAGCAACGGGAGAAGTTGAGCGGGTAAATTAATGACGTAACGAGCGACAAAATAATTTTGTCACGGAGCCATGATGCTTTTCAAAGGGTATACTGTCGACGAAAGAAAAAAAAAAAGAGGTTAAGGGTAACAAGAATCGATTTCAGCTTAAGAATGGCAAAAAAAAAAGATTATAGTAATCACTGAAAACGCAGCGACAAATTGCAAAACTTGCGTTAGAGTATACCTCTAATTACCTTTATAGACGACACAAGCGAAATTTGCCCAGGCGAGCAGGTATCATGCGAGCAGAAATACAGTATACAGACTTCGTACAAGCGGTCGGCTTGATAAAAACTCTCACAGTGTTTCCGTTTTGACCGCTGTTGCGCCCAACTCGCTGTGGCGTCGCATCGAACGCTTGCACGTCAGAGACTACACCGCGATCCTGATTGGTGGCCATATTCACCTTTTCATGAACGCCTCCCTGGGCGCCGCCATATCCCTCCTTGGGCTGTGCAAATTGGCGCGTCCCCTCGAAAATGCACTGACAACGCTGCGTCCTCAGCCTTTGTACTCCCGCGCACAGCCCATCATGGCGGTGTTTTTTTTTTTCTTTCCTGTGAAAAGGTGTATACAACTGAGCGTTTTTTGAGCTTACGTTCGAGTTTATGATTGCATACGCGCGTTCACGGATACAATAAACGGAGGTCCTTGCGTTGTCGGGGGACTGCTAGTACGGAGCAGTTAGAATAAAGACGTTCTGTAAGTACATCTCCGCGTTAAACTCCAATAGACGCTCCGATTACCCAAGTTGTTAAAACACACACACATGCCCTCGACTATAAAGAAGGGACGAACCCAGTCCTGTCATAAAAGACACACGCATACGTTTGAAACGAATTTCGAAACTACAGAGCCAGATGGGATGTAACCACGACGACAAATGGTTGTTGATTGTTGTTCTCATCTATCTAGCTATAATTGTTTTATACGTTTAGTCCACTCAATTCTGAACTAGCAGAACAGAACAGGACCTGTTCTACCCTTCTCGCCCACAACTTCGCTATGCTACAAACTAAAAAAAGAAACAATAAAAAAGCGACGCAACGTGAAAGGGGTGAGAGGGCTGGAAGTACACTTCGTGTGTGGGGTATCAGTCTTTGTTTTCCTTTTTTCTGTCGCGCCATCTTATAACGCATCCGTACACTAGTAACTCGTCCAACTGTCTCACCCCTCTACAACGCTGTAAAGTTTGAATCGTGAAACCAGCTAGTCCAGAAGCGCCCCCCTCTTTTTTTTTTTTTTTTTTTTCAAGCGAACGCGAAAACCGGCCCCTCGCAATTCAGAGAAGAAGCGAATGCAGGGAACAAGTTTTTTTTTTTTTTCATTATTATATCTCTTAGGCTCGATCTCCGCCACGAACGCTTGACGAGTCGCATTCGGTGGCAACGTGTGTGTTGCTTCCTCTGAATACAAGTCCCTTCTTCACCTCCGCGACCAATCCGAATCGGTGCCATGGCAGCAAGCGAGAAGTCATCGCGACATATGCTGTCGGCACGTGACCATGACATCCGTAGGCTCGCCTTTTTAAAAGAAAAGAAAAAAAAGCCTTCGCGAGCGTAGCCACAAAGGGTGGCGTTTGTGTTGCGAGTGCGTGGGTGTTCCTATATATACGTAACGCCACACACGTGTCGCGGTAATTTGGCGGGAATTTCTCGCCTTTCCGAAACTAAATGTCGGTTTTCCTAGCGCGGACGAGTCGTCGGGGAGACCGGAGGGATTTTTTTTTTTTTTTGCTTAGGTTGAGAGCGCAGCTTGGTGGGACCTCACAGCAGGCGTCAGCTGTGTGGCCTGGCGCGCCTAATACCGAGAAGAAAAACGATAAACAACTACAAGGTGACAGGTTGAATGAAGATACAAGACCCTGCTTTAGACTATACGGGAAATGTGAGAAAAGAATGGGTGCGGTAGAGGAGGCACCTCCATAAGCGCGCGATTGTGAGTGCTTGTAGGACGACAAGCATCAGGGTGTGTATCGGGTGGGGGTGGGGGGTGGGGTCGAACTACTCTTCCCTTTCTTGGCTACTACAGACTTAGTCTAATTGCACAACAGTTTTGAGCACTTCACCTGTCGCTTGTCCGTCAACTTTCATGACTTTTACAACAAAGCTCTTTTAGTATACCCATGTGTTATAGTCGTCACCGCAGTAGTAGTAGCAGCAGCAGCAGTAGTAGTAGTAGTAGTAGTAGTAGTAGTAGTAGTAGTAGTAGTAGTAGTAGTAGTAGCAGTAGTAGTAGTAGTAGTAGTAGTAAAGGCATGGACGTCGCAGGGGAGCGCAACAGAAAGACTCGACCTCCGTCCCCCTCACCCAAACTACACCTGCGCGTGCACTTACCCCCTCCCCCCACTAAAGCCACTCCAGTGCTCCTATCCTAGGCTAACGACGCGATATAATACATATACAGAACCGCACGCCCCCCCCCCCCTCCCCCCTTCCTCCAGAGACAAAATCCTGCCGAACGCCTATAAGTAGTGGTAGTAGGCAACCCGCAGGTAGCGCGACCAGAGGGTAAGCGACATAAATAAATATAGAAAAAAAACGAAATGATTACGATAATATTCGAAAAAATGATGATGGTGACTATTTTGTTTGATTTGATTGATATGTGGGGTTTAACGTCCCAAAACCACTATATGATTATGAGAGACGCCGTAGTGGAGGGCTCCGGAAATTTAGACCACCTGGGGTTCTTTAACGTGCACCCAAATCTGAGCACACGGGCCTACAACATTTCCGCCTCCATCGGAAATGCAGCCGCCGCAGCCGGGATTATGACTATTTTGTATCAATAGTCATGATCACCATGATCATTACAGCTTCGCTGTCCGACGGTCTTCCCGGCTGGCTGAAACGTTCTATTTATCACTTGTTACCCCCTTCCATCGCCTCGCAGACGTGGACCGGCCCATCGAGCGGCTCGCCTACTCGGGCCTGGTGCTGCCCAGCGAGGAGTGGCACACGCTGAGGCACCCGGGCCGCGCCGCTCAGCTCTCGTACCGCATCCGGGTCACGTGCGCGGCCAACTACTACGGCCCCAGCTGCTGGACGCTGTGCAAGCCCCGGGACGACCGATTCGGACACTACCGGTGCGCCCGCGACGGCTCCAAGCAGTGCCGGCCGGGATGGACGGGCTCGACGTGCGAGACGCCCGTGTGCCGCCGCGGATGTCACCCCGTGCACGGTTACTGCGAGCGACCCGGAGAGTGCATCTGCAGGCCGGGCTGGCGGTCCGAGCTGTGCGACCACTGCGCCCCGTACCCGGGCTGCCGGCACGGATACTGCAACAACACGCCCTGGCAGGTGAGTCGCTTTCGTGCATTCGCGGCACCGTAAGGCGGTCAAGGAAGTGGGCGTCATCCGCAGACCTCTGGCAGCACTGTCTGTTTGACGCTATACAGTGCATGTGCTCACATAGATCTACCGAGTCCAGGGACATGTAGTCGGGGATTGCAGAGTCCAGGACTAGAGAGTCCACAGAGCGTGCTTTTAATTCAGCAGCCGAAATTTTTGCCAAGTAAATTAATTCGAATGAATCAATGAATGACAATTTATAGGATTTCACTATCCAGAACCATGGTGCGATTTCGAGGCCCGCCGTAGTGGAGAGCTCCAGAAATTTCCACCACCCGGTGTCCTTCAACCCCCGCTGGCATCGCGTGGATACACAGACCTCTACAGTATTTCGACTCCATGAAATTTCATATTGATATATACTGCTGCCAGTCGTTACAACACGCGCACGTCTCGCACTCATACGTGCCCCGTCTTGATGCGGGCGAGAGCTAGCTGTCCTCCACCGCCATGTGCAAGCACAGGCGTATGCTTTTAGGTGGATGGCGGGTGGGAGTGTGAACTTGTGGCACCTAAGATTAACACGCCTCAGATTCGGGTGAGCGAAATTCGGAACGGACCAGTGGGAGACCTGGCTCGCCAGCGAGGAAGAGGAGGCCCAAGCGGGGCTCCTCGACCAGGTACGGCTGCAGTGCTGAGGCCAGTGGAGTCCTGGACTAGGGGTCCTACCCACTGGCTTCCCCAACCCCCTTGCTCTTCAAATAAACGTTTTAATGGGCGAAGCTCCTTAGTGTGTGGGTCGTTCCCTCGTAGTTGTATGTTGTAGTAGTCACTATTAGTTAGTTTTAAAAACTGCTCACTAGATGGCGTTGTGTGTGTATGTCCTTGGAAATAATATCACTAGATGGCGTTAGCGGTTTTCGTATAATAAGAAATTCACAGCATATCCATGGAGTGAATGATGATGAGTGAGGCGAATCATTCATCGGTCCGTCCGATGCGTGCTCTAGTGTGATAGGAGCGGACAGACGGACAAGACAGGACGGACCAACGGACGTTTCGCCCCATCTATCATCGTTGACTCCGTGGATGTGCTGTGTATTGCATTGAACACAATTCATACGTGTCCCTAGTCAGCGCTACAGAGGAGGCGCTGCCCTAGTCCACGAGTCTCAAGAGAATCTCAATCGTCTTCCGCGCAGTGCATCTGCGACCTCAACTGGGGCGGGATACTGTGCGACCAGGACCTCAACTACTGCGGCACCCACGAGCCGTGCATGAACGGGGGCACCTGCGAGCACACGGCCGGAGCGCAGCGGTACCTGTGCCGCTGCCGGCCGGGCTTCTCCGGCACCAACTGCGAACTGGGCCGCGGCGCGCCGCAGGGTTGCCTGCCGGCCGCGTGTCTCAACGGAGGAAGCTGCGTGCAGCGCAACGGCACCTGGGCGTGCGCGTGCGCGCCAGGCTGGACAGGGTACAGATGCCAGGTAACGTCAATAAGAGAAATCGAGAGTCGTTCCGCAACCGGGATAATGGGGTCAGTGACACTTAAGTAGAAAAGTTTAAGGGACAATGCCATTTAAGTTCTAAAAGAATGACAAATAGCAGAAAGAAGGAAAGTGTAATTCTGAGGGCTCATTTTTCTTTGTTAGGCACAATATTAATGAAAACTAATACAGACAATATTGCCAAGTATAAGGGACATTATTAGGATTAATTATAACGTGAATGTGAAGAAATAAACGTGGACGAAAAGATAATTTGCCATGGGCAGGAACCGAACCTGCGACATGGGACGTGTTACTCGAAGTGGAGTTACTGTATATGCCACGTAATTGTAGCACATACAGGAACTCTAATTCAAACGTCGCAGGTGCGCTCCCTGCCGGTGGAAAGTTGTATCTTCGCCCACTTTTATTTTTTCCCATTTATGGTACAATTAATTCTAATATGACGTCCACTATACTTTCCTTCAAGTCTGTTCTCATTAATATAGCACAAAAAAAACGCGCAAGAAACGAAACATATATGTATATAACAGACATGGAATATATAAGACACAGCAACGGTACAATATGTGTGTATGGTTTTCATTAGCGACAGAATGTCATAGTTTGTCTTTTTATCGCATTGCGCAATGTTCTCTCCGAACTGCTTGTTTCCTTCATGCCGAGGACTGGACCACCGTCCTTTGCACTAGCCCCCTCCCGCCCCGTCCTCTCAATCCTACCCAAACCACACAAATGTTCCCGCCCCCTCCACCGCTGCCACGCAACGCGCGTTGGTATCCCACAAAAAAAAAAAAAAATCCTGCCTACGCGCATACACTACAGCGACCTTTACTGCTAATGCGCCCAGGACCTGAGCGGCTGTCTGGCGCGTCCGTGCCAGAACGGCGGCGACTGCGTGGCCTCACCTCAGCCTCCGGGCTTCCGGTGCATCTGCCCCGTGGGCTACGGCGGTGCGCGCTGCGAGCGGGACGAGGACCCCTGCCACCCGAACCCGTGTGCCCACGGAGCCTCCTGCTTCAGCCTGGGCGCGCACGACTACTACTGCCACTGCACCGACCGATACCAGGTACGGATTTTAGCGCCCTTTTATGATTAAGGGTGTTAAATGGAGTTTGGTTTTGGTAAAATGGTGTTTTGGAAGAACAGAATGAGAAAGTATTAGAGACAAAAAGAAACAGGCACGATCGCTTGGAGGAAGAGGATCGTACGAATTAAGACGTTGCTAATGAAGACCTTCCAGTTGATGCCGTGTTAGTCAAGACCTAGCTAATTATGTAGGTAGGCCACAATCTCTGCTGTTAGTCCAGCCTTGCACCACTACAGTGTAAGGTGCCCGCATTTTTTTTTCGTTCACACTCAGACCAGTTGATTCACTCCTTGGGTGTCGTGTGGCTTCTCGCAGGGCAAGAACTGCACGCAGGACCGACCGTGCGGCGGTCCCGGAGGCCAGCCATGCTCGTCCCCGGCTTCACTGCAGGGATGCGCGGCCATCGAAGAGCACGGCGGCGGTGCCTCGGTGTGCGGCCCGCATGGCCGCTGCGTCTCCAGCGGCAGTGGACCGGCGACCACGTCGAGCTGCGTGTGCGACGCCGGCTACACGGGCCGCTACTGTCATGAGAGTAAGCAACGCGCGTATGCGCCTTATACGCCCCCTCCAGTCGGGATTCCGGAACATCAAATGTCAATTTTGTCAATTGAAAAATGCGAAAGCGCAAACGCAGGACAGCTCCAGATATACACGAAATAAATGAGAAAGGTCATGTGCTGAACTCCGCGTTTCACAACTGGAAACAGCATGAAAAAGCAACGAGCAAGAAAAGACGCGAGCAAGCACTGACCAACAAGACATTTATCGTTTCAAACAAGAAGATAAATGCTTTCCAGGAGATAGGAGTGAAAAGGGTGCCTTGAGACGTGCGCATGCGTCCAACATAGTTGTCGGTTAATGCTGTGGTTAATACCGACACAAGCGGGCCCTACGCTCCAGTGCTGTAACCAGGCCCGCAACAACGTAACACCAGGCCCGTTCCCCCCCACCTCTTCCCTCATTTTTTTTTCTTTGCCATGACATATAAACCCAAAATGACACTCGAGCACATCTGCCTGCCCCCACTTCAGATCAAGGAATGCCCCCTCTCCAAAAAAAAAAAAAAAAAAATCTGCCTACGCTCATGGGACGCCTGCTCTTCCTTCGAACTACTTCCAGCAATGAAACCGTAAGATCCGCTTCAATAAATTCCCGCCCTCTTCAATTGGACGCGTCCCCGAGAGTCAACCGAATGTTATGCTGCTTTTAAAGCTGACTTTTCCTAACGACTCAAAGCCATAAGGTGCAGCTGATTTTTTTTTTTTTTTTTGCTTGATGTTGTGGACATCGTGCGATTGCGTCGTGTTTTCTAACTCCGCTATGGCGCCATTTTTTTTTTTGCTAGTCAGAGGGGCCTTCGTACACCTCTGAACCAATCAGATGAGACGGGGCAGCGAACTTGTCAACAGGGCTGAACTCGACGATGTTATAGTAACTGTATATGGTCCTTACGAGACCATATACAGTTACTCTAGACAATGTCGAGCAGTAGCGCGCCCTGCAATGTAAATGCGACCAAGACAAAGAGGCGCCCTTCTTCTTGTTCCTTTGTCGTCGTTCTGATCTCGCGCTATAACAATCGTCATTCTATACTAGGGACACGAAAAAGAGGCAAGGAAAGAGACAGAAGGGCGCCGACAGCAGCGCACGATACCTATCGCCACGTCCACACCACAAGTTGCTACCTCGCCTTGCCAATCATCTCCGTGGATTTTTTTTTTTTTATTTTGCCTCCCTCATCACGCATAAGGTATTAGACGTCCCGCCCTCTTCTTCGGGGAAGCTTCTGGCACGTGAAGCCGCTCGCAAGCTTCAGCGAAAATTCCCTCTCAGTAGAGATACTGCATGTGTCTCCATATATGGCAGGGCCATATATGGCTACTGTATAAGGGGCCGTATACGGCATATGCTGTACATGGCTCCTTATGTAGCCATATACAGTAACTCTACCTGGAAGCGCAGTGTGGCGCCACCTGCGTGACGACCTCGTACTGAGTATACTTTATACAGCGGCTTCCCTGGAATGCAAACAAAAGCGATACGAAATGGTATCGGCTGCCAGAGAAGAAGAACGCGCTCGAGAAGGGAACCATTTTTTTCCTCGCACCTGCACAGGCGCGAGCCGAAAGAAGACAGCGGGATGGCAACACGTCTCGCAGGGGAGGCAAGGAAGAGGGTCATCTACTCCACTAAGCGCTTTTCTCAAATGCTCTTTTTACGACGTCGCTCGTTACAGCGATGCCCGCAATGAGGCGGCGGCGGCGGCGCTTCATTCGCAACCCTCGCCACTTTTTCGCCGTTGGCGGTGAAGTGAAACCTGTGGAGCGAGCGCTCGGGCAATGAGCGACGACGATCACAGAGCGAAAGGGGGGTGTGGGGGAGAGTATACCTGGCGGGGGGCAACAAAGAACCCCAGAGCGCGCTGAAGTGGTTCCCCTACGTTCGTCGTCGCTTATTGACTCCCTTTCGCAGAAGAGGAGCCCCTCCCCCGCCTTGTGCCGGGAGTGCCACCGGCATACGCAAACGTTAGTTGCTGAAGCCCCTCCGGCCTGTGCATGCGGAAGGGGGTGGGGGAAGAATTCGTGAGCGGGGGCGAAGTCACACAAAACGACGCGGGACTTCGTCATTTTCACCTCTTGCGGTAGTCCATTTTGTCGACGGGTTTATCCGAGTCCGCTCTCTTGGAGATTTCGTGGCATTTATTTATACAAGCTCACGATACATACACACTACACATTATCGATGTAGGATTACAAAAAAAAAGTTCGATAGAGGTAATTCGGTATGTAAAGTATTTCATATATATCGAGAATATTCAAGGGAATATTACAACTGTTCGATGCACACAGTAATTCGTTATATGAAGGTTCCATATATGCGGGTTCGACTGCATATGTGTGAAGCCATACTTATATCGGTAGTACGTAATCAATGCCAAAGCGCGTGTAAAGAGAATCCTGGAAAACATCTGAAAAGCAGATACTTACATGACAGCGGGGCAACCTAAACTGTGATTTGTCACACGGTACCCTGTCGTCATTCCGTGGTTTCACGTCATAGAGAAAGTAACGGGATGATGAAAATAGAGAAGGACGAAGGGGAAGCAGAGACGGGACCACGAATCTTGTCGAGAGGGCATCAGACAGCTACAATGTACGTCGGCACCTGCTTAGCGCCCCGTCCAGGAATTCGTCTACAAACCAACAAGATGGACCGCGAAGAATCGCCTGGAGCGAGTCACAGTAAACGAGTACGAGGGAGCGCGCCTCTCGATCCTGATAGGAAGGCGTGACCGTTCGACGAGTCAGTCGATCTGCGCGTTTGCTCACTCGACAGAGGGAGGTGGGACAGAGACGGCATCGCGACACAAGATCGAGAGACGGCGGTAAGACGATCGAGGCTTGCTTGCAGGCACGTGACCTCACGAGGCCTAGGCGCGGCCCGACAGGAGACCAGTGACCAGCAGCGCGTGGCTAGTGTATATAAACACTGCCTGAAGGGCTGCCGGAGGTAAACGAAAGCACTGCAGCCGACCCCGGAGTGAGGAGGGCTTCCGTCGCGGGGCAGGGCGCGCTTCAATTACGCTCCACGGTAGCCGGCGAGTGTTCAAGACCGGGCCGCCGCCGATTCTCAGGAACAACTGTAGTGGGCGGCGGGGTGGAGCGCGCGCGTTCTTTGTAGCCCGCTTGTCGTTCCCGTGCGCGGGTGGCAGCGGCGGGCAGGTGAAGGGCAGAAGATCGAAACGTCGCCCCGAACCAGGGAGCGGGGCGGCGGTCTTCCTCTCTCGCCGCCGCCCAGAAGCCGTGGGCTCCGCCGCTTCTTCCAACCGGATGCGGCAGAATGGAATGCCGCTCCTCCGGTTGTTCTCGGCCTCAACGCGCAAGTGGCGCTCTGGACACTGGAGCACGCGCTCGCTCGCCTGTCACTTCGCAAACGAGCTCGGCAGCAGCAAAGAGCCGCCGCTACCAGCCGCTCCCTAGTTGCCTCCGGCGCCTCCCCCCCCCCCCCCCCCCCGCCTCCTCGCGGTATCTGAACCTCTCTCGCCGTGTTCGGATGAAACGCGATCATCAAAGTCCGCCCAGCTCGTTTTGGCCGCCGCCACGGCTACTAGGCGCAGCAGAGACACGCGCCGTAAGTGTATGCACGCGCCGGCATGTCCTTGGCACTGCGCATGCGCACATCGCGAGTGGGCTGGGAGCAAAGAACTTTCTGTTAACTCGGGGTCAAAGCGACGTCTATTGCATACGACTACGCAACTGCCAATTAAACCAATGAGAGAGATATACAATGGCCGATAAGATGAAAGGTCCAGAAGTGTACCACACACGTCACACGTCCCTCAAGGGAGGACAATATACTGGCTACTTGACTGAAGAGCTCAGCCAGAATAAATGTTACGACTTGCTACATCAAATCGCAGAATAAGAATAATTGAAGGAAAGTGAACGAAGATGTTTAGGAGACGAACATGGGCATCCAAAAGGGGAAGGACATTGGCATGATTGAGTTAATGCTGCATGTAAGTTTATAATGTTAGCCAACATGTTAGTTATAATGGTAGTTAGCTAAATGCCTTTCATTATTGTTGCATTGCAGACATCAACGACTGCGCTCATCAACCGTGTGTGAATGGAGGGACCTGCGTGGATGCTGTCAACAGCTACAAATGCATTTGCCCGGAGGGATGGGAAGGCCCACACTGCAGCAAAAGTATGTACAATTTCAAAACACAACTTTCACTTTGTGTATGAGCATAGTTTCATTTCCGCCCACAGAGTGGGCAGTTGGTGCATGTGTACCCATAGGCGTCTGCAAGGTTCCCCTTCCATTGGGGGGGAGGGGGGGATATGTTTCCCGTGAGCCCCTCACCCTATTATGTTAATGTCAGTAGTTGATTTTGCCCCTCCACCATGTCTCAACACCCCCCTCCTTGTTATGTCAATGTATGAGGCTGACTTTGCACCTCCGTGTACCCTTGATGTACGAGTAATTGATAAGCTCGGCATAGTCTTTCTACAGCATACTTCTAATCTGACAATCTGATGAAATTAAATACAACCCAGCCTGACAATGCAACAGACTCGTAATGCAGTTTAAGGAACACAGTAAGATAATGCCTATATTGCAATAATACATTTTCAGATCGAGATGAGTGCCAACCTAATCCATGCCACAATGGAGGCAGATGCACAGACCTCATCGCCGACTTCCTTTGCGAGTGTCAAGGACAATGGAAAGGAAAGACCTGCAATCTCCGTAAGTACTCTGCATTGGTACATCGAACAACCACAGAGTGAGGTGCTGTGAGAGTGATGTGAATTGCTTTTGCAGTCAGAACTGCCGGATGGTTTGTTGATATCGTTAGTTAATTAGCTGACTTCGACATTGTTCCAGGTGATTCTCACTGCGACAGCGACACGTGCCTCAATGGTGGCACCTGTGAAGACATTGGTGACACTTTTGTCTGCCACTGCCCAGAAAACTACCACGGCCACACGTGTCAAATCGGTGAGTACTTTTGGAGCCATCTGCACCAGAGAAACAAAACTCGAGTTTGTGCTTAAAGGCAGCCACTTGGTCATGGGAAAAAAATACGCCCTGCTTTTATTCAAATGACCTTATATAGTACTACATATATGCTTGATCCTGTTGCACATGTATATTCGGTCTTTATCACATTAAGCAAATACTATGGAACATGGAAGACTGATCAGACACACAACTTCTGGCCATAATAAAGAGCTTGACGTTATGTTACGTGTTCTCAAAACAATGTGTTCCATCAGCCATCCTTTGAACAGGTGTTTCAATTCATGAACTAAATATAGTAGTTCAAGAAAAGTGTCTGTCAGGCATTGCAGAAAAATGAACCGGTTACGACTGAATCCATAGCTTGGTTAATCCTCCTTATGAAGCTTTCAGTAAGCCTATATGTAACATATAGTTCCTTTATAAAGATAAACAAAATTATTGCACGTATAGCGTTGACTGACCCTTGGATGGTCTAGTCAGTGTCTATAATTGCAGTACTTCAAGAGCTCTAGGGAGGACAGCAATGAAGTTGTCATCACTATCCCTCCAATACTTTGTGACACCGCACTGAAGTGTGCAGAATGATGAAATCAGTGTTCAGTCGCATTCGTGGTCCTAACGAACTTGTTTCTTTTGAAAAAAGCTGCACATTCAAAATTCAGTACCTTAATTGCATACACGATGACAATGAAAACTGAAATAAAGGAGTAACAACAATCCATTTTTTTGCGCTTTCAGCCAAAGTAAATGGCTGCGAGTCCAACCCATGCCAGAACTGGAGCTACGTGTGTCAACAGTGGTCGTGGTTTCTCATGCATGTGCCGGGAAGGTTTCGAAGGACCGCTCTGCCAACAAAGTGAGTGTCGTCGTGCCACGCTGCACTGCTTACTGTCCAGCTAGCCATCCTTCATCTTTGCATTATGGCCATTTCACTTCTTAACCAAGAAAAACAATGCCATAATAATCGCTCACTTGCACCTATTCACCACTGCTGTTCGGTCATGTTGATTTATGCAATTTAAGGATGTGTTATAAGGTTACCACAGTACATTCGAAATGAGCTTGGTATCCTTTTCTTAAATTCTCAGTTTACTGTGAAAGACGATTGGACTAGAACTGCAGCTTTTCGTCCACGTGTGGTAAAACGAAATCTGCCAAGATAGAAGAGTATCACTTTGGACTTTGCACAATTGATGCTATCGAATGAAAAAATGCAATGCTCAAAATATCTACGGCCTTCATAGTCTTGCCTTGCTTTTACCTGTCTTTGCTCCAACTGTTATACAAAACTGAAGAAGGCTAGCAGGTGTGTGACATTGATAAGGCACTTTGCAACGTATACCTAGGTGTAGCCAAACCAAAAGTTATATGCGTACAATTCTTCGTCTTAGATTGCATCTAAGTGCTAATACGGTGCATTACCTTACTACGCAGATGTGGATGACTGTGCTTCTTCGCCCTGCCATAACGGCGGCCGCTGCATTGACGGCGTCAACTGGTTCCGTTGTGAATGTGCACGTGGCTTTGCTGGGCCCGACTGTCGCATCAACGTGGACGAGTGCGCTTCGAATCCGTGTGCCCCCGGCAGTGTCTGTGTGGACGCCATTGGAGATTTTGAGTGCCGCTGCGCACCCGGCCGCACGGGCAAGCGCTGTAATGTCGGTGAGTCTCTCTTCACTGCCTTCCCATCTCTTTTTCATTAAGCACTGAGGCAGTAACATAAACGTCTTTATAAGTTTAAATAAAATAATACTTGAAACATAACTGAATAATGAAAAATATCAGCCTCTTGACTGTTCCATGTACTTGCAAGTGCAGACACAATGCTTCAATCCGTTGTGCAGATTTTACACATTGTTTTAAGATTACAGTTATATTAGCGAAGTAGATTTGCCAAGAACTGCGCAAGCATGTTACATGTGAATCAAGTAAGTATCAGTAGCCCTTATCTGAAGTGATCAAGGGATGCAGGATTTTAAATGCATATCGCAATAACCTGAATCTTCAAGATTATCTGCACTGTGGGTCCATCACAAGGAACGCAAGTCTAGCGAGAGCACAGACTGGAGATTATTTCTAGCACAAATGTATTATTTGATGTTACACACTCAGACCTCGATACAACGAACCTGGATATAACAAAGTAAATGAAGCATAGTCTTGCAATAGACATACTGTTAGGAATATACCTTTATAACGAATTTTAGGATATAACGTACATATTTTGGTCTAAGATGCAACTTTGCTATAATGAGGTTTGAATGTACATGCTACCTATTTCATTGTGCTACTGTTTTGCAGAAGATGGAAAGAACACCAACTCACCCAATCCTTAACTTCTATTGATGTAATTTTTTTCTTCATTTTGTTCCAGTGCTTGTAACCCCAGCCTCTTACCAGCCATGCGAATGGAAAGGCATCATGTACCCAGAGGGCAGTCGATGGCAGGAAGACTGCTCCCTCTGTAGCTGCCATTCCGGAGCCGTGACTTGCATTCCCGTAAGTTGCCTTTGCCACTGACTACCCTTGAGTGTTATTACCAAATCGCCACTGACTGCCCTTGAGCACCATTATCAAATTGCCACCGACTGCACAAACCAGATGCACTGACGCCAAATGAATGCTTGGTTCTTACTTACTCTGCGTTCATTAAGTTCTTACTTAATGCTTTACTCAGCGTTCATTTGGCTGATGCCAAATGAACGCTGAGTAAAGACTGCTGTATGTGGCACACATAAGAAGGGAAATTTGAAGGGCTTGTTTTTCTTTGTTAGACAACACTTAATGAAAACCGACAAACAATGAAGCCAAGGAAGGTATAGAAGGAGTTATTTGTACTCTTTCAACTGTGCTGTCGCGATTACGGCAAAAATGTGGAATGCACGTTTGACACCATCTTTAGATGAGGGGATATCGCATACCTGGAAACAACTGCCGCTAACGCTCGTGCAATGAGGTGTATAAGCAAAATATTTTCTGTTTTAGTTGCTATTATCTTTCATTCACCCTTAAATGACTGTCAACTAGAATGTTTTAGTGGGATCTAAGGGCCACTGAAAAATCTAGTTTGGATTAGGCCGCTATAGTTTTGGAAATATTCAGTGAAAGAGAAATACTGTCATCCACCTGATTGCAGCACAAAAATACCTGTGAAAACCGTATACATTTTCTACCAGCATGGTGGTTTCTCCTTCATCCATGCTAATTAGGAAACACCAGCAGATCACAATGCCAGGATAAATCAATTGATTATGTTTAGAGGCACAGACAGAACATTGAGCTAGTTTGTACTGATCCATAGTAGTATTAAGAGCATCCAAGCATACAAGATACAAAGACAGAATTACGCTCGTTTGTGTAATTTTGTTTCTTGTATCTTGTCTGCTCATGTGCTTTAATACCACTAATTGATCATCATGATAACATTCAACAGCCTAAACTTCTTTTCATGACACCTTTCTCAATCTTGTGGAATTCCTCTTGAATGATCATTGGGGCGTCAAACCCGATCGATTACGATGTGTTGACTGATCAGCTATATCACCTGCTTAGTAGAAGAGGAAATCAGAAAAGAAAGGGAGTGTTTTTTGTCTGTTCTCCGCTTAGGGTTTAAATATCACAGCTGTTTCCAGCTAAGTTAAAACCACTTTCATATCTTAATGTAACTCACAATCAGCGGCATGGTGGACACTGCAATACATACACCCGCAACGTGACAAGCTTGCAGACTTTTGTATTGCAACGGGCCAATGTAACTCCTGAGGTGGCGTCACTGCATTTCGTTTATAAATTGTGCAGAAAAACAGTTTAAAAATTGTGAGTTAGACAGTAGAATACGTAGGCACATTGTGAGTAACATATATACAGTTCCACTTTTGTACTGCAGCTAGGCAGCGTAACAACTTGCGAATAATGTGCCGCATATTTTTCTCAGATATACTTGCAGTTACAGACAATAGTAGTTACAAAACATGTGCGCTTTTTTCGCAGAGCGTGTGCCCAGAATCCGGTTGCGACCCGTCGGGACCGACAGAGCAATGCCCACCAGGTGAAGGGTGCTTGTCAGGCCCACCTGCGGAGTCTTGCTTTGTGAGGCCCTGCGCACAAGGCGGGCAGCCCCGAGGCCACTGCGCACCCCTGCTGCCAGGGTTGGCCAACCAGTCGTCCAACTGCCTCCCCAATGCAGCTGAGCCCAGCAACGCCTGCGCCAAAATCACGCTTCTCTTCGACCGCCGTCCCATGGCACCCGTGAGTCAATCGTCAGAAGACGTGACGCTAACTTTACGCATTCCACACAACTTAAAGGGACATGAAAGTTTTGTGACAAGTCAGGTTAAAGTTTCAAGCTACTCTTAGAAATGTTAAGTGTTCTCAACTTCCTACCAGACGTTGAGTATCATAACAGAAAATAAAGGTCGAAATTTGATGCTCACTAGCCAACATAAACAATCATCTGCTAACTTTTGGCAATGTAATAAGACCTTAAATCTATTTTGCAGGGAACCACGGTGGAATCAGTCTGCAGCAACATACGTAGACTGTCCGCTCGGCGCTCCATCATCATTCTGTGTGCACAAAAGCTGACCGATGCAGACAGCATTGAAGTGACAGTGGTGAGTATTAGCAAATAAGTTCTGCTACCATTAGTATTCGCCGCATGTTCCATTGAAGGCTGCTGTTTCTAAGACTGGCTGTTTACACAGTTCTGACACTTCTAAGATTCGTTATGAACACAAAATAGAAAGCTTGTCTAAGACAGCCTCTAATGGTATCTAGGAAACCTAGTCACTGAGGAAACGGTGAGAAGAAGAACACGCAAGTGCCTGTGTAATGAATGCATCACATAGAAATTGAAAACAGAACATTTATGTGTCTCTAAGCCAGACTTGCAGCAACGGATGAATGCAGCTAACCTGTGCTGCACCGTTTTAGTCTAGTCTGCAATTACACATCACCATTGCCTTAATTAACAGTCGCCCATTCCTGTTATCACTCAACATGTTGTGCCTGAGCTGCTGCTACGGTTGCTTTAGAAGCCATGATAGCAGACGTTTTCACTTAAACTTCGTTGAGCCTGTTAATAGTGCCAAAACACTAAGTAAACAACTGCCCCGCCGCGGTGGTCTAGTGGCTAAGGTGCTTGGCTGCTGACCCGCAGGTCGCGGGTTCGAATCCCGGCTGCGGCGGCTGCATTTCCGATGGAGGCGGAAATGTTGTAGGCCCGTGTGCTCAGATTTGGGTGCACGTTAAAGAACCCCAGGTGGTCGAAATTTCCGGAGCCCTCCACTACGACGTCTCTCATAATCATATGGTGGTTTTGGGACGTTAAACCCCACATATCAATCAATCAATCAAACTAAGTAAACAACTTCATGACAACAATGCACAACAGCTGTTACAAGAAGGGCTACCAACTCTTCAATGAAGAGAGCCAGGATGAGTACCTAGAGAGCCAGTGTGCATTAGATCACAATTATTTTCTAACTGGATGGTCAGGAATAAATCCGGGACATATAGTTGTCCCAACTGCGATGGCTCGGGTTTAGGGATGCAGTCTGAAAGGTCTGGACAGTCCCGCAAAATCCAGATAACAGAGCATAACACAAAGGTGCATTTGAAGACCTTTTTCAGAGGTGTCTTGAAAACTTTTGCTCCTGTCTGCAAATTGTGACACCATCTATTCGCACCTGCAGTCCACGCCGGGTCATCCATCAGCATCAACTTATGCAACAGTGAGCGAAACGGCACGGTCCTTGGCTGATGTGATCAGCCGCAAGCTCACCAACCACACGGTGCTATCTTCCGTCATTGAAGTGAAGGTGGAAACATCCTTCGTGGGCCTTGATCAGAAAAACACAGGTCAGTGTTCTACAGCCTCGCTTCTACAAGGTTAAGAAGGCATCTGTTAAGAAAACAAATGACTGCCTTGACTTGTTGGCTTTCGGATCCTATAGGCTACCTGCAGGTTACAAAATCACTGCGGCTAACAGTGCTATTTTCGGCAGATGAAGAAAAATGAGGGCACATGACACAGTGTTCATGAGTTACTTACTTCTTGTATTTTAGTTTGAAATCTTTATTACATTAGACTTTCATTGACAGCACAGTGTTGGGTGTCCTCTTTTTCTTGTCCTCCTTATATGCACTGTTAGCCACGATGTATATATAGCGCTCGCCCAGCATTTCGTCCTGCTGAAAGTTCGAACTGTTTTTGGTATAGAACGATCTGAATTAATTTTTAATGCACAACTCTTTTCATGCACAACCAAGAGCAGTGAGCGATCAGAGCACTGCCACACACGCTGAGCCATTGCTGTGGATGCAATGGCATCTTTTGGGTAGACACTAGTTGCAGAACTTCTGATATCCAGCTAAATATAACACATTCCAAAGCTGAAGTTGCAGAGTAATTATGCAACTTATCCTTTCGCAAGCGCTAACTGAACCTGGACAATTCTCAACATGCTCGCAGGTCGGAGCTACCTGCTCGCTGCAACAGTCACACTTGTCGGAGTTGCCCTTCTGGGACTGCTGGCGGCGTTGACTGTCTGGTTCCTGCGCTCCCACCCGACGCTGTGTCGCTGCCCGCTGCGTGCACCCGTGACAGGCGTCATACCCAGCGTCAGTGGCAAGCTCGACGGCGGCTCGCCTGAGCCCGACAAATCCAACAACCAGAATGAAGAGAATATGCGGAGGTACCAGAACCCACTCCGCGCCGCAACGAATGCGGATGTCGCCGCGGAGGCCTCGCCAATAGATGCACGAAGCGCGGAGCTCTTCAAGCCGCCCTCGCTGGCCGCCTCGAAAAACACGAACAGGCTGTGTGACAACAGCGTCAAACAGTGCGAAAAGGACAACCCACTGAGTGCACCCTGTCCAGCCAAAGTCTTTCCAGTGCCAGACGCGGATGTGGACACTGTAGTGGTGCTCGTGTGATGTTGGTCGGACGCTTCTGTGCGTGTGAACTGATATGCTCAATGACAGTTGCCAGTGACGTTCAGTGATGAGGTGCGCACTTGCCCCGCACTGTGGCCAGCCATGGTTCCCTCGTCAAAGGAAATCTTGATAACGGAGCTGTACCGTTCGGCGGCACCCTCCCTCGTTTACTTGGGCAAGGAGGCCCCAGTGTTCCCAACACGTGTCGCTGGTCGTAAGCGGGGCAGATCCAAACATTCCCAGTGTCAACAGCGCCCTGTGCCAAGTCCTGACGACTCTCGCAGACTTTTCACGAGGACAATTTATGCAGGTCACTCCTACAGAGTGGTTCTGCCACGTTAAGCTCAGAAGCAACTGAACGCGACTCTTAGAAACAAGTCGCCACTGCGCTAGCCGTCCGTGAAATGCAGCACTGACAGCTCAAGTGCGCGGTGAAGCCCCTTCTTGCATGCACACCTTAAGCTCCTGGATGTACAGTGTATTCATACTCGCCAAGAGTGACTATGTAAAAGTGCTGTCGCAGAACGAGTAATTTGGTCAGAGGAATGGCTTTGGCGTGGAAACAAGCACAGATTATCTTTAAAAGCAGTACCCTGCACAAAGACAGCAGTGATACTATGCAATGTGTTCATTTTTTGTAATATTGTTCGCGCAAAGGTGCAAGAATACTCTACAACCAGCTTTCATCTTTTCCGATGCGATGTTCCCATTCCGTCGCATCTTCCGTCGTAGGTTTTACAAATATGGCTAAAAAAAAAAGTGCTCAGAAAACTAGTACGTTTAGCGTTGGCCCGTCGCGGACGATTTGTAAGAACTGCCGGTCAAGGACATTTTTTTTTCCAGCAAGTCTCTAGCGTAGTGAACGTTTCACGTGTACATATGTATATAGTTAGCTCCGTATGCGACGCGAGCACTGCAAACTTGGCAGTGTTGTGCACATCAGGAGTGCCTAATTTATAAGGGAAGCATGCAATTTGCCCGCCCTGCCATTTTTTCCGGTCCTTTGCAAAGTGTGCAGCCAAAGAGCTCGCATTTTCTACCCCCGCCTCCCCCCCGCCATTTATGCCCAGTACAAATTGCACACAACTGGATCACATTCCAGCAAACAAGCTACGAACGTACGTCACGTCCAATGCAAGGTTTTATATGCTAGATCATGACAGCAACAACACTGCATTGAAAAAAAAATAATTAAGATAGTATTCAATGCCGATGCAATTTTCCCAATACATCACTGAAACGATACCTGGAGAAAATGTGACTGTACTCTTTCACAGTGTTTATCACAGTAGAAGTTCACCTGACATGGGAGTGACTAGGACATTGTGTTAGGGCTCTGCTTTAGCTCAAGCAAAAGATGTGGCTGAGCTTTACGGGGGACAGTTCTGGAACAACATGTTCTGAATTTCACTAGTTGCCGATGCCATCTGTGCAATGTTAACCCCAGAACTTCCCTCTTTTTATCACCTTATAGCCTCGGCTGTATGTGGGGTAACGGGTCTTTGTTATAACAGATGGCAATGCACCTAAGCCAACATGCGACAATCATGCAATTGTAATCTTTTGTACATTTTGACCCACTGCACTACGTTTCTGCCGTCGTCAGTGAGATATGGTGCAAGGACCTGAAAAAAAAAAAATCTTTGTGTAGGGGTACGCTTTAATGACTATATCAGGAGTATATTTTATTAAGGGTTAAACAAACTTTTATAATGCGGCTTCCTTCCCTGCCCACTGTTTCTTTTAACAGTGAACCAGACTATGTGGTGGGCCAATACAAAACATAGAACATGTGTTCCAGCCTTAGAAGTGCTCGCATTCAGCAGGAAAAGTGACAAGGTATCGTGCCACACTTTAGCCGATCCCATTCCAACTGACACGTCTGCAGTTATATTCAAACATCAATGCGTTCCCTTTCATACTGTGCAGGCTGTACTGTTCAATTTGTTGCAATAAGCTTGTGAGGCAACGGTTGGTCCAAAGACCGTGCCTTCTTTCACTCCCGTGGCGGATGGACGACTGCAGTGACAGACTTCCTTTTAGCAAACCTATCTAATAAAACTCGTGCTTAGTTTTCTTTTTTTTTCTTTTTCCCGGGATGTGCTTGAAACGGCAGTCTGAGCATGTGCGAGAGATGTAAAAGCCCGATGTGGTGTCACCAGTTGGCCCCACGGATCTCCAGTGAAAAAGTGCGTCCCCGTCAAGGACCTTGGCTGCGGAGAGAGATGCCACGGAAGAAAAACTCTAGTCTAGTCAAGAGTTTCCATCAAATGTTACGGATGCCAAGTCCGCAAACCGTTTTACAGACAGCCCCGTAAGTGCAGCGAAGAAAATATCCGCTCACTTTCGGGCTCGCTGCGAATGGTTTGCGTGGATGTGTGTGGCACTATGTTTAATGGCCTATGCTCAGAAGTGCGGATAAAAAAAAAAATGTGTGTAGTTTTATGCCAGCTTTGAACTGCTTGATTGCGAAACAGCCTGTCAATGTGACTTTGTCCACTGATTCCAAGCATTAAATATGTTGCAAGCAAAGCATCTCGCTTATGTTTCTTGCTTCGTTTTATTTAGTGACAACTGTACAGAAGAAACTTGCACAACAGGGCCAGGTGGATTCCAACGCAAAAGTGGACAATGCAAGGAGAAATGAGCTCAATGCAGTGCTATCACGCGAAAATCGCGAAATCGTCAACTTAATGATGTAAACCATTTTCTGGTAAAAGCAACGCTGTAAATCCTCACGCGAACACTAATACAGCACAGCTACGACAGACGATGGTTTTCCGAGAGGCGTAGTGCATACAAACACGACTTAGTGGCATTACCATGTTGTGTGGTACGTACCAACTACACTGTGGTCCCAACAATGCACTGCTTTGTAAAAAATGCTAGAGAAATCTTCGCGACGACCTCCTCGGGCAACTCACAACCTCTCTGTGACAACCTTAGATCAAGCCACTAGTACTATAAACATAGCCAAACGGCTTCTCGACAAGTCTTCGATGCTTTCTTCGGGGTGCTTGTCCTAAAGCTGTTGATCATCCCACCGAGTGTGTGATCAAATGAAGCCCCTAGGCTGCTGATCTACAAAGTCTGCTGACCAATGCCGGACTTGAGCTGTATACTGAAAGACTGCGTCTATTTAATGGTTCTGCAATACACTAACTGAGCGGTGTTGCAGACCTGGTTAGTCAGGTGAACATTGTTAAATGGACTACCAAAGACCAGAACCACACACTGCGGCGAAAAAGTTTGTCTACCCGTGTCACGTCCAAGCTTTGAACAGAAGGCTATGACTGGTAATTGAATACACAGTAGAAAGGTAGGCAGACTACAAATGCAGATATGGCATCATATCTAGACGCTTGGCACAATCCACGAAAAAGGAAGCATCCAATCAATCCACGACACATTCGCCCAAGCAAGCATGAACCGCATGTATACGGCTTTGCTTCCACACTTAGATGAGGCGCGTCATGATTTCCAGTTCTGAAGAACAAGATCTTGCTTCCATAAAAGAATAGCACATTTATAAACCCATGCCTAGAGATGTCTTGTTTTTTTTATATAACACGTTGTCTAAAGTTGAAAAACTAGTGTACCTGTCCCCCTCCCCTTTTTAGTGTGTAACATGATGCATAAAAAGTAACAGGATCAGTAGTTCCTAAGCTGGTAAACAGGTCTTGATGGAACTGTGGAGAAGAACAATATAAAGGGCAAACCAAACAAACATAATTTGAGTTTAAGGTCAAGTGAATGGCACAAGTCATGAATATTTTGGCAGAGTGACAGAAGCAATATTTCTGGCAACACTAGCCAGTTTTTGACAAGATGCAGGACCAAAATGGCACTTACGGAAAGTGGCGAACCATCAATTGGTCAAGGCCTTAGACAAAGAGCCATCTCTGGAGTTTACATAACAGTCAAGTTTTACACTCCATGCTTTCATTTTCTAAACTGCGTGACACCATGTAGGTGTTCGCATACTTATGGTAATAAACTTGCTAATTCATAAGAGCTGGTGAAAGTGACATTGGCGATTTCTGTAGCGAGAACAAATCAAGCACAAAGTCACATTAGTCTCCGTGTGCCAAGCGAAGTGATACGGTAGCACTGCAGCCAATTAAAACATTCACCACTTCAATGTGAAACACAGAGCTGATGAAGTGTATACATTATTTCTGATGTCTGACAAACCTGTTAGAAAACGCGAAGAAAAACAGCTAACGCAGTCAACAAGACTGGGCAACTTTCTATGTTGATTGCTAAACTAGTCCTGCCTGAAGGTTTGCGACGCCAGTGCCTTGCTTATACAGTCAAACACCTTATAAGAGACACTGATGTCAGATACAAATTGGTATAGGAGACACAAGTGGGCCTACTGTGGAAGAGGGGTTGATAAGTAAATGCATACATGGTATCCTAATTATAAGAGACACCTTTTATAAGGCACAAGAATTGCTGCCCAGTGCATGTCTCGCCTAAACGGGTTCAGCTGTATAGTCCTTTGGTGATGTGCCTACTTGTATGAAACATAAGCACAGAACAAAACATAAGCAGTTCACTCTCAAGCAAAAACCTGTTAACATCGACCCTGCTGAGAGAATTCAATACTTCTACCCCGAAAAATTAGTTTTGGCGGATATTGAAGAGAGGGAAAAGTGTTATAAAATAATAATGTTGCAACCTACCCACTTATAGCATTAAGTGACAAGGAAGTCAGTGTAGATTGCTCAGAAAGATAAAAGTTGACTTGAAAATTTTGTGCTGGTCAGGGATTTGAACCCAGGGCCAATGGATTTTTTTTTGCAGTGGTAGCTCTACCATCAGCTAGTCTATCGCAATGTGAGGAAAAATTTAACAGCAACAAGTGGACAACTGTTGGCATTCGTACTTGTGCCTTTGTGCCAGAACAGAGGTTTCTAAGAATGCTTCACTGGTATTTACCTGGGCGCAATGATTGTCCAGGTCAAAGGTAGGCTGCGCATTTCGCTCAGCCACGTACAGGTCGGGATCTCCGGCCAGTGGGTGAACTAGTATGGTGACGGCGCCAGGCTTCGAAAGGGTGTAGTAGCTGTAATTGCCAGCGCCAACGGCACCGGAAACCTTTTCACGGAAGCCGGTCGGCTCGCATGTCGACCGATGAACCCATAGCACCAGCAGTGCGATCACAGCTGGGTGCTGTAGAGCAGCAGCATTGCTTTCTCGTTTGTGCCCTGTGATATAAAACTTTGGGTCAACTGAAGACCACGGGACAAAGTAAATGGTGAAGAGGTTGACGAAAGTTCATCTGATGAAGCGACACGAACTCAGCAGTCACAAACCAATTTCTGTAGGTGCTTTAATGCCTCGACTTAGTCAGTGACTACAACGTCTTCACCACCGCAATGGCAACTCTCAATTGCACTTGCAGTCTTGGCGAAAACAAGTCTGCTTGTCAAGAGATCGGCTCCAGCGACACACAGCGTTCACGAATTTTTCATCTCAATTTACACTCGAAGCCTTCGCGGTGCACGTCAGAGCGCTTCGTTGGAACCGGAGACACCCGATTCCAACGCGCGAACCATTTTGACCTGATGGTTTCAACAGCGAGGACAACTAGCCACAGGTTACAGTACCAAGTGAGATGCTTGCAGACCCATCTCCACTCCCTACACTGCTCCCAAGGTAGTCTCCAAGGGCAACTCGCCAGCCAACATGTCTGTCAGCCAACGAACATAACTTCAATCAAGTATATGGTGTATCTCGGCTTCAAGAAACTGTTAGAAAGAGGAAGGTGTATCGTGCAGACTAATCATGTGTTGCACTTATCAGGTCCTGCATGCGAAAGGTTTGCGTTTACGAAGGCACGTTAAAAATAAAACATTTTCGTTTTACTTAGATACACAACCAGACTATTATCTGTGGTAAGTGCTGTCGCTTAGAATTCCTTGTGGGCGTTCAGAGCAGGGCCGTTTAAGGTAACATCGTTGCAAGTGGCGCCTAAATTTACTAGGGACATATACAACAAAAACACCAGCAAGCTCGATAAGTCTTTGTCGTCGTTCTGTTTTCGCGCTATAACTTTCGTCATGTCATACCGACAAGCCCAAACTGCCACCCTTCCTAAGTCGATAAATTTGCCTGTTGAGGTTACAGTGGACAGTTTTAGTACGGCGATTGCAGCAGCTAACGGACGCAGGCTGTTGTCCTAAGGAATGGCAGGCAGTCTGAGTGGGCAGATCTGAGGCGGGCGCCCAAGCATTGACTGTCCATTACAGCGAAACATCGCCAGCTTCGCACCCAAACCCGAAGACACGCCGCTGATGATATCGTACAGATATTCGCAGCACAAAGTATGATGTGGGCGGCGCAGAAAACGACGAAAGCTGCAACTTCTGACGCTCATTATGGGTCAGTATTGAACTTTGTGTTCTGAACGCAAAAAACGCAGTGTTTTGGACGAAGTGAATGCAATTATAAACAGGAAACGAAGCCGAGTGCCCGCACACCCATAAGGCCGCAGAACGCCAAGTCGACGCATCTGCGCTGGAGCTAAATGCTGAACAACCAACTCAAAGTAACATGCTGACAATGCACCGAATCGACGAACGTCACCGGCAAACAATGACGAATGCGCTGTTGTGTCACTCACCGGAAAGTAAACACCGGAACCACATCATCGACGACGTGACGGAACTGAAAACACGCCAGTCATGTCACCGCCACGGGCTCCGTTTCTCAGCTTTCACGAAACAGGCAGGGCTGGCAGGCGAATTTCGCGATCTCAGCAGTCGGCGCGTAAACGCACAAAGATGACGCAGGTATACAGCAGCGTACGGCGTGAATACAAAAACAATATGAAGAGTGTGGCGTAGCGGCGCCAACATCAAATCGACGCAACAATCAAACGGAAGACGCGTGATAAATGCAGCGCATGCTTATGAGTGGGGTTTGCGCTTGGCCGCTCTCGCGGGCTGTCGGCCTATCGGTAACGTTCAAAAGTCGCACGCTTTCGCAACCACGTCGAAACGTTAGGTAATAAAATATTTAAACGAAATAAAACGCCATTAAATACAGCGCGGTAGCTGTGTGCCAAGGTGCAGCAATGAAACTGAGAAAATTCCGCCGACACAAGCCTCTGAATACTCTTCGGGCCACACACAATCAAGTCAAGCCAAACTGTAGTCGACTGTATGGAGCGTGTGCAGCCGGTACCACCGCGCGTGTTTGTTCTCTTCGGTGTGCCGTGTGTTTTTATGGAATGTCACTCATCGTAACAACGTAGTCGTACAAACAGCCCAAGTATGCGTCATTCTTAGCCAGCTTATTGCTGAAACGTGTGCGACTGAGCTGCTTTCAGCTGGAGGGGCGTTAAAGTCCGCTTCGCACAAACGCCGGCGTGAGACGGCTTGCTAGTTTAGCCCACGTGCTGTCCAAAGCGTGGACCCGCCTGCGTGCGCGCGATATGAACAGGAAAGCGGAGTCCGCGATTGCAGTGTACAGGAAGCGAAAGGTATACATGCACGACGCTGTGCTACGGGAGAGTTTCTTTACCGTCAGATCACGTTTCGATTACACTACTCTTGACACTGTGCGATTCTGTATTTGTTGCTCCAACTACCGCAGGAAACGAAAAGTAACAAGAGATCTGCCAAAAGCCCCAATGCCCGTCCACCCGGGACTCCCGGAAAAGTCGCAGACAAACGTCAACGCCGCAAGAGAAGGGGCTCAAGTACCCCTCAGGTACTGCCGTCAGCGGTAGAGGAGGCCGAGCGAGCCTTCTAGTTCTAACAAGCTGCTGCTTTCGGTTAGGTTGTGCGGCGTAAAATTCCTCCTCTATTCTGGTTTCGCAGCAAAATGGCAAGATCAGAAAGCAGGAGCAGTGCGCGGTTTATGACGGCGCGAACGGTTCCACATCTAGCGACGACTCGGAAGCAGCAAAGTCGATCGCCTCGGGAGGCAGCGAACTAGCCGCGGAACGCTGTTTCGATTGGCTGATTCAACCTATTGAAAGAGACCGCTTCTTCAGGTAGGTCAGGTAGGCTTCTTCAGGTAACGATAAATGTTACCAGCACAGCTCGATTTATCGCTTACTTCCAGTCATCTTACTCGGATCGATACTGGGATGCGTGCTAACGAGATATACGTTCGTGGACAAGTGAAATGCTCTAGATATTACGAAATGGTATACCTGTCGCATATAACGACTCAGTATCATTTTGCGCCACTATTCATTTGGTTGCCAAAGCAGGCACTTGGCGTTGTAGCTAAGACATGACATGCTAATACTATCACACTTATTCAGTGTCTAGATTTCATCGTTTTTATCCTGGTTCCCACGTACGAGTATTTGCATGAAGTGGCAAAAACAAAAAGCGCCATAGCCTGACAGACATGTCACACACCAAGCAACAAATTTGTAAATGATAAGCTGTCATAAAGTAATGCGTACTATCTGTGCAGTGAGTCTGCTATGCCTTGGTATCTGTGGAGGTGTGTGAAAACTATCCACCAAAAGAATTCATGGTGTCATGACCTTAATATATTTTTGACAATACATGTTGCTGTAGGGTTGCCATTTTTTCCGATAACTCTTCCTCGAAAATGACCTTTTGTTGAAGGGTTAAGTATTCGTCATGTTGGAACAAAGACACCACCATGTTAAATCTTTGAAATTGATGCATTTGCTGTAACATTGTTTCCTAGATCGCTCATCAGCATGATGTACATCTACATAAAACAATTCTGAGCTAACAAATGATCTTGCTGGTTGGCATAAAAATACGGTGACAGTGAGAACTTTGTACAGAAAGATTTCACTGTACACTTGTTTGCAGCACAAGGACATGAGATTCGGTGTCTATGCACAGCAACCAGCTCTCATGCACCATTCTTGCCGGAACACGAATTGATGCAATTTTTGCTGTTTAGAAGGCAGAGAACCAATGCTCATGGTGCAAGAAAGGAAGCATGAAGCAACCATTGATGCTGATTTTCATTTTACTCCAATGATTGATATAAATGTAGGGATCTTGCTTCGAGCTTTATGGGCACCAGACGGAATGTAATTAAAAAGTTGCGTATGTTTCGCTGATTGACGTCAAGTGGTTGTAATCGTAGTTGTTGAATTGACCCTTATGAAACGCCAAAGATAATCGCAAGAACTGGCCAATGACGGTTGTTATAACGTGCCAGAATCGCAAGAACTGGCCAATGACGGTTGTTCTAACGTGCCAGTTTTAACCTAGTCCACTGTCCAAAAAAAAAAAAAGAACTGGCTGGGCGGTCTGAAACTTGGCACATGGCAAATCTACATCCTCGGCTGTACTTGCAGAGAACTTTGGGAGAAAAAGCCCATGCTACTCAGGCGCCACCAGCCCGACTTCTATCAGGGCCTGATGAGCTGTGATCAGCTGGACCGGATCCTACGCGAGCGGAGCCTCTTCTTCACTGAGAACATCGACCTGACCACCTACGAGGGGGGCAAGCGGGAGACTCACAACCCGGAGGGGCGCGCCCACGCCGCCGTCGTGTGGGACGCCTTTCAGAAGGGCTGCTCGGTGCGCCTGCTCAACCCGCAGACGTACAGCCGGGCAGTGTGGCGCCTCTGCTCCGTCCTGCAGGAGTTCTTTGGCAGCTTTGTGGGTGCCAACATGTGAGCGTTTCATTTGTTTCTTGCGTCCCTCCTTTTATTCCCCCCACCCCCCAGGTCACCTAAGAGAGGGGAGGCGGAAAGTCTGCCTCATATATTGACTTAATATGGGAAGGAGCGCTGCAATGAATCTTCGCCTTCCCCCACCCCCACCTCAAAGGAGAACCCGGTGGTACGATGCTGCTGGAATTAATTTTGGTTAGTTAAATTATTTTGATTACAACAATGTAAGTTTGGCTTGACTAGCTTTTCCTGCTTGACAACTTTAGCTTATTCATCTTGTACATCCCTAAGAAGAGCTGAATATGTCCTCGCATTTCTCATGCCCTCTACTGTAGGACTAAGTGAAGTTGTCCACTGCAGAAAGTCCAAACTTCTATAGCCACTGGCCACCTGAGGAAATTCATGTGTCCAGTTTTTTTTTTTTTTTTTTTTCTATGCTGGGACAGTGCTGGAATTTCAAAATGCAAGCTATTTTTCGTTGCGATACCATGAGGAGAAATGGAAGCTAATCGGGCTGGGAAGCCATATTTCTTCTCATACTTCAGTAATTGTTTTCTCTACTTGCATTGTTTTGAATATATCTGCTGCATTTATGTAATGAGCTCATTCCACGGAGCACTGAATGAAAATGGTAATACAGAAATATTTATTACAAAAATAGCTTGGATGGTCAAGAGTCAAGTTACTTGATATTTGGCTACTGATATTATAGCTTCAGTCTGTCTTATACCTAGTAACTGCCGGTTTTTTCATTCTTGCTACACTTTCGTTGTTTGTTCCATAGGTACCTGACTCCAGCTGGATCCCAAGGGTTTGCTCCACACTATGACGACATTGAGGCGTTCGTCATACAGCTGGAAGGCCGCAAATGTTGGCGCCTTTATCCTCCAATGTTCGTACACTACTCATATTATTTGCATTGTTTATGCTGTGTCCTCTGCTGACTAGATTTGAGACAGACCTATGGATTTCTGTCGCCAACACTGGCTGTTTGTTAATTTCGCAGGGACCCCTCGGAAGAGCTTCCACGATTCTCAAGTGGCAAGTGCACATCTGATTTCTTAATGATTATCGCCATTTGTGGCAATAAGAAAGAAGTTTTTCTAATTGAAGCCTTGTTAGGTTTTTTGGGCAGTTAGAAGCATATGCTGTAGGGGTGTGCCAGAATTTTTTTCTTTGGGGGGGGGGAGAGGGGGTCATTTATTCGATGACACTTTATGCTTGTGCGTATTTGCTTGTGTGCATGTATATTTATGCATGCAAAAATAAAAGTTTTGAAGGGGCCCTCTAGCTATGCCAGTGCTATATAGAAAATCTTGTCGATTCATACTTATAAGAATGGAAAAGTGAACTTGGTTAATATGTATTGATTCTTAGTTGGGTGTAGCCCACATGGTGGGGGTGTTGCTTTCTAATCAATTGTGCTCATTCCTCGAGCGCAGCAGCAAATAAAGTTGGCCCTATAAAACAAAAAACATGTCCGAGTGAAGTCGGCTTCACTGCATTGCAGATGTGTTGCACCGGTCAAGAAATGGAGTGTATTGTGGTGAAACATATAAGGATTCAAAAGCTGCCACTGTAACACGACGCATGAATTACGCATGTGCCCTATCCACCATATGATGTCTCGTTACTTGCACCAAAATACCTTACGAGTGTACTGGAATGTCCTCAGATCTATTATGGATTTAAAAAAAAAACAACTATTACTATAACTGTACGTAACCAATTGACAACAAACAATATAGACTTTTCTCCACCTATGCAAGTGAAATCTTCAATGTACACTTGCACAAATGAGGGGAGGTCAACGAGACTGGTTGACCAAACTGGTAGGACTAGGTGAACTGGGTTTCATTTGTATAAGTACCTCGAAGATGCCACTACATAGGTGGTGTACCATCTATATTTTTTGTTGTTAATTTGTTACATAATGTTGTATCAAATGTTCTTTCAGCCATGATTTCACCCCGGTGCTGGGAGATTTTTGCCATTATTGATGTTGCCATAGTGATTTGAGCCCTTGTTAATGATAGCTTACGTTTGACTGTTCCAGTAACCGTCTTCTAATGCGGTGTTACTACAGTCCCCCATCACTTTCCTGCTTCCTCTCTTTCCAGTAAATTTCGGCCCTGACGAAGTAGGGAATCCAATTTGGAAGCTGTCCTGGAGCCGGGAGACTTGCTCTATTTTCCTCGGGGCATCATTCACCAGGTATTGGGTCCCATAGCAGTCGTACTGCACCATGAAAACCTGTGTTCGATTAAAGTTTTACAGCAGCACATAAGTGCTTTCTAGTTTCCGTCGGGGACTGAAAGGAAAGTGTATGGGTGTATACCATCGCACCCTGTTTGAGTGATTGCTCTCTTTGCAGGCATACACCCCCGAGGACACCCACTCTTTGCACCTAACCCTCTCGACGTACCAACGGAACACGTGGGGCGATCTTCTTGAGAAGGTGTGTTCCAAAGTGAATTCCTTTGTGGCAACTAACTGTTCATTTGTTTGTTGCCTTGTATCACCGTGGTGCGATTTTAGTGCTGGCTGTCTCTCTAAAGCCCATCAACTAGAGTTAGCTGTTTCCAAGAGTTCAAGCTAGCTGTTCTGAGCGTGGACACTCAGTGCCCCTCAGTTGTTACTTGTGTTGAGGACATGAAGAAAGGGTGAATGTTTGTAGAACCTCGTTTCTTTGTTAGACACAACCAAATTAATATAGTGGACTAATTAATTAGGGAAAAAAAAGCATAAGACACTGATTGTTGCCTTTAAGTGTGGTGTAGTTATGACATAATTTAGAATAAATTAATATTGACAGAAATCACCCTTTCCGTTAGTGGGGATCCAAACCCATAACCTTTGAATTACACTTCTGATGCTTTACCGATCGAGCTATGATAGAAGGTGCTGCCTCGTCTACTTTGTTAAGTATTTTTATACACGTCATCCCTGGAAGTGTTACCCACGGTAAAGTGAGCTGGAAAAGAGTAGTGGGGTTGCTGGGTTCCCCTGCTTGGAGCCGGATACAGTCGAATCTCATTAAATCGAACACGCTTAATTCGAACTTCCGGTTAATTCAAACTCACGATGAGGTCTCGTCAAAGCTATGTGTATTCCAAAGGGCGAAAATGCCCAGTAATTCGAGCGCCCAAGCACTTGCGACGGTTAATTCGAACATGCTGCGCTCAGAAAATACTCTCAGCACCCCGCCCAATCCTGCGGTGGCACCTCCAACACCTCAATGCTGCGCGCGAAGGAAAGGAAAAGGAAAGAGAAGGCTGGGGTGGGATATTTGCGCTTTCTCAAATGCCGATCTGCGATGCGCCTATGCCGCGGTTCTCCCTTTTCCGCCCCTGTCACGTAGAGAACATTCTTCCAACACCGCGTGCAAAGAGACAGAGGGGAGAAAAAAGAAAGCTGTCACGGAGTGTGGCTCTCTATCACGTGCCGGTGCCAGGCTTCCCCCTTTCCTGTCCCTGCCACGTACCCTTCTGCTTTCAACGACGCGCCGACGAGAGCAAAAAAAAAATGCCAATCTGCTTCTCTCCGCGTGGAGATGCTTCTCCTTTCTCGTCACGTGCTGGCCACGCTGCGGCTTTTGCGCAGAGGGTAGTAACGGAGATGCAGTTGTTGTTGTCGTCTTTAGAGAGTGTCAACACTGGACATTGCCGCGCACAACTTCTCTTGCCAGGAGAATGCTGACGCCGAAGCAGACATGCTTTGCAAGCTGCATGCAAAGTTGATTGACTCGCTGCAAGGCAAACGTGTGCAGACATGCATTACCGATTACTTCAATTAATGACGGATGTCCTGTGATTTGGGAATAAATGTAAGTCTTCTGAAACTTCCCCCTCTTGCGTTAGCTTAATGCACATGCGCCACTGCATGAGGAGCCCTCTGTTTACATAGCTTTCAATAATTCAAACTTCTTTTAATTCGAACAAATTTTCGGGCCCCTTCGAGTTCGAATTATCGAGATTCGACTGTATGCCACATGCGTGCTGGCACTACCAGTGACTTCATTGTAGGGCGCTGCCTGATGGAGGCGTTTGTGCGCAACTAAAAGCATGGTATTTTGTGCACTGTCATAATATAGTATACTGCAGGGAAATGCACGCGAATTTCGGCTGCGTAGGGGGTGACGCAGGTGTAGCTAAGAAAATTAAAAGAAAACTGGTGCGATCTTGATGCCGTGGACATTATGTGTCCGTAAATCTCAAGTCAATACACACTAATGTCACAATATAGTCACATTTTTTGGCAACCTTTGTCATACAGCTGCTACTGAAGTACGGTCCATGGTGTGAAATAACTTGGCCTTTAAGTTTCCGAGTAAACCATTGATACTTGTGATCATCTTGGGATATCGCACCACCACATAACATTACAGAGTTGGTTTCTTGACGGATTGACTCAGCTGCGGCGTCACTTCGCACTGGAATCTTTTTCACCAAGGTACCTCCAGCATACACCTTGCCATAGTCATCAGACGAAGAGTGAAAGAACATCACTACTTTTTCTGAGTGTGCTTCGCTTTTTGCAGCCAGCACAGTTGTGCAGTAGACGACAGCGTCGTTGCCCGGGAATCGATGCTTGCTCTAAAACACGGAAGTGTTAAGGAACCAAACAAGTTTGTGTGGCTTGTACTCAAAGGAACAAAACTCGCACACACTGACTGCCACTCGAAACACGCAGCAACTGGCCCAGCACCAATGCTCACTACACTTAAGGCGGCAGTGGCACCGCCCCGGAACTCATTTTTGTGATTTTCGCAGTGTCACTGCAATGCATGGCGCCAGCCAGTGAGTGAGCCCGTCACCCTCTTCTAGCTCACTTTAGCCAGGGCTACCTGTAGCCAAAGCGGCGAGTGTGGAATACTCTTTTTGCCAGAGGGTGCCACGTCATCTTTGCACGAGGTGGCGGCTGACCGATAGTCCATAGAACAGACGCATGCTGAAGAGCATTGCGGTGCTAGCTTAAAGCATGAGTGTGTCTGACCATCTCGTAATTGTTTCAATGTTTCGTATTCAGATGATCCCTCAGGCTGTAAAACTGGCAATGGAGGAAGACGTGGAGTACAGGAGGTCGCTGCCGAGAGGCTACCTCAACTACATGGGCGTGGTCAATTCAGACGTGGTTTGTGGTCTTTTGACAGCTTGCTTGCTTCTTATTGTTGAACAGTGTGTGCGACTTGTCAGCTAGCAGAATTGCAGCTAACGTTGTCATTTGAATGAAGGCCTTGTCCATTGTCTCGTATATGGGTCATTTCTGAAGGGCTATTTAATATCTGGTTTCTAAAGGCTGTCGATACTTATCTCGAGTCACTGATTCTGAAGTACCGTATTCACACGATTGTAGGTTGACCCATTTTGTCTCAATTTGAAATCCGAAGTTGAAGGGGTCGACCTAGAATCGAAAACTAGTTTCGAGCGTGAAGTTTCTCTCACAATGATCTCCGCGTATTCTTGTGAAGCTAGCTTTTCTGCACAGCTTTCAAGCTGTGGCGTGAAGCCACTTTGTGTTATACTCGTGACACACGGGCAAAAGTAAAGTACTTTGAAGTAAACCCCTTTTGTCGCCTAAGGGGACCATTTGCAGAAAGGAGTTGCGCGGATGACACACGGCACCGAACTACTGCTTTAGGCGGTGCCTCAGAAGAACGCTGCAGAAAAAATGGCGCTGTTTGTGGAAGCAGCAAGATTGGAAATATTAAAAAGAATCTGCGCGTGTACATCACATTCAGCGACGCCGGAGCATAAAACCGTTTTTTTTATTGTCTGGTGGCTTATAATGCGCATACATGTAATTTTCTTTCGCTTTTTTGCATTTTTAGCAGCAACTTAAGTTCGTCTGACAACTACGAGCAGTCGGTATTTTGCTGTTTTTGTTTATTGTAGTGATTTTTACATGGCTGCGTCCAGCTGGGTCAGTGACGGCGTGCCGCGTTTCATAGTGGTCCTGCGATGTCTCAGCGCAGAGACAAAGATAAAGCAACAGTTGAGGTGGGCCTGACTCTTGTCGCCTTCGGCTCCATCGAAGATGAGCTAAACGCTGCGAAGGCAAGAGTGATGAGCCTCAAACAAAGACTCGTCATGAACAGCTTCATTTTGACTGCTTCCGCACTGTCCCCCCGAGCCATCAACTGTGAAAGTTGGGCCTATGTGCGCAACGAACGCTGGTTCGAAGACACATTGCCGTTATTAGGCGACGGCCACTTTAAGCAGTGTTTTCGAGTGAGCCCGACACAGCAACTGCCGCTGCCAACCCTAACATGATCGCGCTAGTGACGTAATGCAGGCGTTTGAGAGTATGGACAGACTATAGGCCTTCACTTTTGAACAAATCGCACTGCTGCTGAAAATGAAAACACTTTCTCAGCGCAAAAAAATACTGACAGGGCACCGCAGTGTTGCGACACGTTTTCTTCCATTGATAAATTATGCACACTGTATGCGAGAGTACTCCCTTCCTGCCAGAAAAGTAGATGCGGGATCTGCTTTTGCGAAAAGGATCTTTGCCGGAAAGGAGTTACTCCTTTGTCGTGTGTCACTGTGCCCGAACGCCTTTCCGAAAGATGTCCCCTTGTCTAAAGGACTTCAAGGTGCCCGTGTGTCAGGGGCATTACCCAAATTCGATTTTATTATCTTTGAAGACATCATAGATTTTTTTAAATGAGATATTAGGGGTACGTGAGATATTAGGGGTACCGCATGGGGTAGTAGCTCACAACAAAAAAACACTTAAGACCACTCAGGTCTGCGTAGTTCATGTACATACTTATTTAAAAGCTAAACAAAATATGGGATGATAAAAGTCAAGCCGCTAGCAAAAGACCCGCGGGCCACCAGTTTGATACCCCTTTTTTAGGGAGTTCTATAGGCGAGCGTGGCATCACAAACTAATCAACAAAGTTCTGTTGCAGTGTCTGCCCTAGACAGAGTTCTAGTATGTCGATAGGAATTATGGTTATGTAGAGTGATTGCCCGAACTTGCGCAGCCAAGCAAAGCACGTGAAGCCTTCTTGGACAAAGTGCGCCACCTGGTGGAGAAGTTGGTCAACTATTGCCCCGTCGACGCAGCCGTCGATCAGAACGCCAAAGCTCACCTTCATGAGGCGCTCCCTCCCCTCCTTTCACAAGGTGAGCACCCGAATGCCCCTGCTGTAGATTTTCACCCACCATCACCCGCGGTTTATCTGTTAAAGGTGCTAACACCGTTTTCAATGCAGCAGCGTTAAAGAGCTCATTTCACAGAATTTTCGGCGTTGGCGTCCTTGGTTGAAAAGAAAAAAACGGGTAGATGCAGTAAAGGTATGACATGGGTGGTGTTTGCACTTTGGCTTTCTTTGCGGTACACTTTAGGTCTCCATCGAGAAGCGAGAATTGAAGGCACGCCAGTGATTCGGAAGGAGACTGTGCAATCTGTGTGTGTGCGTGTCCGTGCATGCGGATATCACTATTCCGTTCAACTCTTAAAGGCAAAGCTTATGGGTCCTCCAATTTTTCGAAGGAGAGTTCTCTCTGCCATACCAAGTTCCTGTATAGACCTCTGAAAGAGGAGGAACCCCTCCGTTTTAAGCTGTGGCACAGGAGTGCAAAAGACGACGTCACAGCCTCGGAAGTGCATTTTTGGTGGAAGGCGTATGTTAACAACAGCCCAGAGAGGACTATTGCGGCTCTCTGGGAGCCTTTGTTGACAAGGTGCATACAAAAACAGCTGTGAGCAAGTGTGAAGCCCAGCAAATGCTGATATTTTGTTTTTCATTTTAAGGTCAGTTTTTCTATGGTTCATTTGCTGTTGTTGACACTAACTTTGTGTCAGGCTACAGTACTAATTCTAGCGACTTTGTGCAGCAGTCTGGCTAGTTATAACGACACCAGTTGCCAAATTTCCGAAATGACTGCTTGTGCAGCAGTCTGGCTAGTTATAACGACACCAGTTGCCAAATTTCCGAAATGACTGCTTGTGCATTGCCAGCAGAGCCACGGCGCTGGAGTAGCCGTGGAAACGTCGTGATATCTTGCATGAGCACAGGACGAGAAGCTTATACCGTGTTGTGACATCGGGGTACAGTAGGAAACGAAACTAGCTTTTTGAAACAGCCTTCAATTACTTTTTTTTTTCCAGGGTGCACTTGTGATTAGCGGTAAGTTTTCTAGGCTCTCGAGGGCTTGCCCTTTCATATGACGTAAGAAAACAACTCGCAGAAATCAAATCCCAGCTGCGTTTCAATGGAAGCAAAATGCTAAAGGCTTGTGTGCTTAAGATTAGATCATGTTACGGAACACCAGAAAGTTTAAATTTCCATAGGCCTTCTACTGCGACGCCTCTCACCATTATATAGCGTTTTCTTTGGAGCTTGAACCCCTACAATTATTACCTGTGCAGAGGAACGGCGACGCAGTGTTCACAGCGGTGAACACTGGCATCAAGGCCAAGTCGTGAATGTGCAAGGAGCTGGATCCAGATGCTCAAGTGCGTCTCGCTCGCAGGAATGCGGTCAGGTGGGTTTTTTTCAAAATTAAGGAACAGCTCGTTTGCACCACGCTTTGAGGACACTCGTTTTCATGCCAAGGGTAGTACAGTTGAGCCCTGCAGAAATTAAATAAATATGGAAACTAAAAAAGTTCACCAATTCGAGAATTTCATTCTCACAGAATAACTGTAAAACTGGGAAGGGATCCATGAAGCAAACAAACTACAAAATTCAGTTAGTTCTCAACAGGAATAGCCTTAAAATTGGAAGCAGTTCACGAAGCAAAAATACTACAAAATACAGTTAGTTTGTCTTGTCAACCCTTGCCATGTATTTAACACAGATTTTTGCAACACAGCAAGGCGAGAATTTTGTAGTTGTGCAATTTCATTATTGTGGGTCTTGACTGTATTTAATTGCCTTTTTAAGGAGATACCATCGTTGGCTCTAGCAAACTAAACACTGAATCTGAGTCAGTTTCTTGTTCAGATTGGTGCATACCTCTGATAGGAATCGTTGCTCATTCGATTGAATGCGCTCTTTCGTTTTGCTCAGTATTTTCGCTCCTGTGTTCGTCTGATCGAATGCGCAACGATTCCCTTCACTTTGAAATGTGGCTGTTTCGTTGTCTATTGCACTGCCAAGAAAAATAAAATTGAAACTAAAGATATGAGAACACGTGGACATGCTGAACACGGAGTCCCTAGCTCCAAAGTGTCGGTTTTGCTGCGTCGCTCCTTGGAGCGAATAGAGGGGAGGGCATGCCTGGCTGTTTAGGATCGGCTGGGCCCGATAAATCGGGTCAGCTTCACCCATGGCGGACACATAACCCCTGCCATGTTCGGCTCTGGGGGCCTGCTCTTCGTCTATCCCCGCCGATTTGGCATCCCCCCATGTGTACACAAAAGTCCACAAGGGTACACTGTGGGCTCAAGAAAGGGTAAAAGTCGCATCGTGGTGACCCCAAGTGAACTGCAAGTAAATGTGATTGGCTTTTTTTTAGGGTGCCATGGTGCATACGACCGTGCTCTAGTGAATGGGGCGTGAAACTTTTTGGTATGGCCTAGGCCTGCCTCTCGATCTGGGAGGCTCATTTTGGCGATCCAGATTGTTACAACAGCTACTTCGGCGAATAGATTCACACTTACAAAAGGTTAAACAGCACAAAGAAGGACAGAACGCACATTAAAACGCAGATACAGCCCTGAATCTGAATCGGTGCTGTATCTGAGTATTTTTCCCAGTGTGCCATTTTTTTTTTGTATGTTTAGAAGTCCTGCTTGCCCTAAATCATGTCTCAAAGCTCCCCCCCCCCCCCCCATCAAAACAGCAGAGGGCAGAACAGGAAAGTGAAAAAGTGTTATTCTTTCGATTGGTTGGCAATGACTCACCGCTTCTTCCAGGATGGTTGTAGAGGAAGAGGAGGTGCGCTTGTACCACTCGTTCGACAACAGCCGGCGATACAAGGGGCGAGACCCGCAGTACATCGTCTTGGGTGACGACCAAGCGCCGGCCGTGGAGGCGCTCGTGCTGGCTTACCCAGGCTACGTCAAGGTCGACGACCTCCCACTGGACAACCCTGTTGACCGGCTCGAACTGGCCAGCATCCTCTACGACAAGGGGATGCTCATAACCAAGCAGCCGCTCGAAATTGAGGATGACTAGACTCTATGTTGCTCTGTGTGGGAGACAGTGCGCTGCGCACTGCGAAGGAGCGGGCACTTTTGACGAACTGTGCCCGCACACATGCAGCTCCTTGCCGTCATAAATGCAGACTTCAGTTTCGGCCAGCTTCCCTGCAGGGACATTTTGTGTGGGGCTGCACCCATCTCTTGTGCAGTCTTTGCACCTCAGATGTTAGTCGAATGGAGTGACAGAGATTGTTGAACGTGTGGCTTTTAGTCGCCTCAAAATCATTGCACTGACGCTTGACGTATTTGTGACATTCTTTACAAATAAAGCCATTCAGTACATCACTGTCTTTGGTTGTGACAATTGCTTTGTCCTTATATTACTGAGGCTATAAAAACTGTCACACAGAAACAAAGAGAACCTTTGCTTGCCTATAGGGCTGACTTTGTAGAATGCATCACAGGCACAAATAAGTTGACCCTCCTTTCCACTGGCTGCAAATCTTGTCTACAGCCTGTGGAAAACCACGCATGATTGCCATAATCGTCTATGTAATCTTGATTTAAGTGTCATTCCAAAAGGCACTAGAAGAACAACAGGCATGCGGTTGTGATTCTGAAACACGTGACACCTTCAGTACACCACGTCCGACAGGTTTTTTGGCTCCACTATGCAACGAACAGCGTTGGCACCAGACACCTACGCTTTTTGTATATGTTGAATGCTGCTAGCAACGATCAAGTATACCTGATGTTACTAGAACACTAGACTTGAAGAAAAAATAAGAGCGTTTTGGAAGTATTTCTGCCACACAATTATAATCGTCCACCTCTCATACCTTCCACTAAGGTCCCTGCACTTCCCAGTAATGAACGGCGAGTGCAATATTGGCGTGACATAGTGTACTATATGAAAAAATAGCCAAAGGAGTCTCTTCGAAAAAATATTAAAAAATGTGGGCAAGCCAGATAACAATCAAATAAAGTTGTGACTTAGAAATACCCTGCCCCCCCACCCCCTAATACTCAATTTTTTTTCTTAAGGCATGCATGTCTTACGAAACTGAATGAGTGCTTATACCTCTCAGCCATATAGGGATGCCAACTTATTTGATATGCACACACAAGCACATGAGGACAGAGAGAAAGTAGGCTAACAACGTTCTCATTGTTGTGGAAACCGTCGTAAAAGAAAGCAAAGTAGGACTAGGACAAATAGATGCAGTATGTGTGAAGGTAGTCCAGGTGCCAGTCAAGCACTGAGGCCAGTCGTCAGGCGCTACAACATTTACTAGAGGGATCTCTGGCACTGTCATCGTTCAGCCGCCACAAAAAACTTTGGTCGATCCACAAGGCACGGTTATCCCAGTGGGCATGGCTTCGCAGCAGCAGCCTTTAGTCGCGTGCCCCTTAAGTTGAGGAATTATCAATGTATAAAACACTAGTACGTCTAAAACTCGAATGTTCGTGCTCATTTGAGACTTTTTTCAATGGTAATTGAACTTAGTCGCTTGAAATAAGTGCTAAATAACGCAGCGAGCTTTATATTACCTAACCATTGCATGAACATTGTCGCGTCCATGATATCTGCCCTTTTTCTTGCAGTCACTTTAACCACGTTGCAGAGCATCTTATCTCATACTTTTATATAAGATATTCAGTCATTCAGTTTTGAAAGCTTTGGTTTTTTACGACACCATCTCCTCACTTTGCTCATTTAGATTGTCACCATAAAGGACACGTCATCAGCTGCCACACGGACACTTTCTATCATTTCTTTGTCCCACGCATCTTCTACCACTGGAACCACCTTCTCTCTGACATTGTTTTCATTTCAAATCATGGCTTGTTTTCTTCTACCCTACAAAATCATTAACTTGATGACGCATAAAATATCCATTGTATGCTACATTTTCTACTTTTGTGCTGTATTTTTTACCTACATTCGCATTCAGCTGTATTAGCTAACATCGTATCTCCAAATGTATTGTTATTTTGATGTTACTTTGTATGCTTCTGTTTAAAATTTGTTATTTTATGTACCCACTACATTCTGTAAAGCCTCGTGTGATTCAGGGCAAAATAAATTACACAAATGAAGTATGGGCAGTGCATCGATTTGCCTAGTCTTTGTGCTCGCAGCTTTGACCACACTTGTGGCTTTGTTTATTGTTGTGTTTTGGTTTTTGTTTCAGATAAAAGAATGAATCATTGTAAACTTTGTGGGCCTGTTTGATTCGGTGAGCCTAAACAGTTTAGTTGGTGAAGTGAAACTGCTGAGCGTCGGCTGAACTTCGTCTTGCGACGAAACAGCTGCCCGCCACACGGAGCTAAACTAGCCGAATGGGGCTGAAAGAATGAAGCTTAGACAAATCCATCTACTACCCGTTTTTCCCATGCTGGCTAAAGCGCAGCGCATTGCAGTTCCCATAGACACTAGCGCCAGATTTCCCTCTAGTGCCTTATTAGGGAACTATGGTCAGGGGATCCCGCACGTTCCACTCGGCACTGCTTTCACGTACGACAACTTCGGTCACTCCACGAGGCACGCTGGCGTGGCTATCCCTGTGGGCGTGGCTTCACCGCAGCGGCCTGCTTGGGTTGTTTCGCACGTCCGTTCTTGCCGAGGCGTCGTTCCTGATCCAGCTTGGGCTTCTCGGTGCGGGTGTGCCATACGAGAACCTGAGTGCAGTTCTCGGCACGGGGCTCCAACTCTTCTGGCCCCGACAGAAGCTGCTTCAGCAGATAGGACTCCTGCTGACCGCGGGGCAACCGAAGCCGGAACTGGGCGCCCGGGTTGTCGAGGAGAAGTTGGAGGGATACGGCGAAACCCGCCATGTCAAGAGGATAGCGCCTGCAAAAGAAGAAAGTGGCACGGTAAGTGAGAAATATTGCGCGTAACTTGTTTCGTGCTTCGAGAGTCTACAGCAAGAGCGTCGTTGCCTGTAAAAGTTGCATGAAAGATATAACTTGGATGCTGTGGTCATTCGGGTACAGTGCTACCAATTGGTACCCCTGGATATATCTCGTTTTTGTGCTCACCACATCATACATTTCTGTGCTGTTTATTATGATGTATCTTTCCAAGTTTCCCAATCCAACACGGTGCCTAAGTGGCTGTGGTGTCGTGCTTCTAAACACAAAAACGTGCATTTGCTTCCTGCCCACAATGACTGCGTTCCAACGGGAGAAACGAAAAACATCCAAATACCAGCATTTTGGTGTAAAAAAATTATTCCAAGACGTGCTTCTCATATCTTGGTTCGCCACATTAAAAGCCAATATTTAAAGCTGGTATTTCTGAATTTCTGTGTAATCAGTTTCTAAATGCAGTTGAATACACACGAGTGCAGTGTGTGTGTGAATACACAATCATTTTGAAAGGTTGCATTTATGTTGAGGTATTTGTAGGGAGCAACCAGTTTGCAGGCAACAAACCATTCGCAGCCACACTCGTGGCTGCCACAGTACATAATAGGACCACAGTTCCTAATTCATTGCTCTTAAGTAGGAAAATAGTGGGCAAGCACAGATTCTACTCACATATCTAGAAGTTATATGCATACAACACTACTACATTCAGAACTGTTATTAATTTGTGGATTTCTTTTCCTATAATTAATTAGTCAACTAACTAACTTTTTTTGTAACTGGCATAACTTTTTGTGCAGCTTCCATGTTGTACACTCACTATGTAAACATCCAATTGTTGGTATGACTAACAAAACGCCTCAGCAGCTTCTGCTTTTAGATACTAGAATTGCCATCAGTGCAGTTTATATTCAATGCCCATGTGAACAAAGAGCTGCTACTTGCGTAGCTAGTGTAACGTGCCGTCCTTATGGTCTTATCTGAACTATGACACATATAAGTTCATGCAGACACGAAATCTAAAACTATAGAGAGATGGGCTATTTGGTAGCTAAAGCAAAATGGAGAGGCGAGCGGGTTGGTACTGATTCCTTATGGCGTAAAAGTAGCGCAAAGAAAGAGGACACCATAATCGCACGACACGAGAACTTGTCGAGGCTTTCCATGTCTACACGAAGGCTTCTATGTGCATTAGTGATCTTTCTTTGGCCTTGTCGGAAAAGGAAGTGATACAACGCAAGGAAAGTAGTCGGTTGGGGGGGGGGGGGGTGCATGAGGTGCGTTTTTTTTTTGCCTATTTTGCCTCACCCATGATGCCCATTCGTGCGATTCAGTTGAGCGTGAAATTTAGATGTTATATATTATCTAGTCAAGCAATAAAGCTTTCAGTTGTGAGTAAGCGCTTGTGGCGGTCACTTTCTTGTCCTTGTCTTTTTTTCCCGCTACTTTTACGCCGTAATGAATTGTTGTAGGTAGTCATGTCGAAGGGCTTGGCATGCAAACACGGACACAAGAGAAAACATGGGACAACACAAATGCCATTTGTGTTGTCTTGAGTTCCGTCTTGTTATTTCTTTCCCCTGTCCCTTATCCCCTGTGTAGAGTAGCAGGCTAGAGCGAACTAGCTCAGGCCGACCTCTCTGCCTTCTAATGAATTCTTACTCGCTCTCTGTGTTTGTACGGCCAGTCTTCTGACGTAAAACCTAAGGGTCTTTTATTCGTAAAGAGAAACGTGGCAGTTTTTACCTGTACGGCTTCCAGACTGCATTCCAGCTGACAACACGGCCATTTTTAACTATGGGCTGCTCGACCAATAGGCCTCCTACCAAACCCACAGGCCAGACCGACACTTTGATGGTCTTTCGCATCTGCAAAAACATGCACGACATAGTCAGTTTTCGATGAGTGTCTTTCATACCTGCATAGCTCATAATCTTATTTCATTTGCAGATTAGCAAAGAAAAAAGCTGCTAGTACATAAAATGGCTATGCTGTCGAGAACACAGCAAAGTGTGTCAGTGAACGTAAAAAAGTTGTCTCACTGATGCTCTCGCACTCGCGGCATTAAATGAATTTTGCAGCGACTCTATGGCATTTGACATAACACTGTCAAATATTGAGAACCTCATGCATTCTTCCTGTCTCTATGTGGCTCGTGTCGAAAGTGTTTTCCCAAGCATGAATTGCGATCATATATGTGAAAAAGAATTTTTAGTCACTTTGGAGGCAATATAGCGGAAAATAATATAAAGCATGTAAATTGTGGAATATTCCATCTATTACTACACAAAACTCAACAAACGTCAACATGTGCAAGCATTTCAATATAAATAAAAGTTGCCAAGGCGGTACTGCAGGGATAGTTAAGCTGGCATTGTCGGAAAGACTGTGCACCTGTAGATGCATGCGTGGGCACCCCAAGCTCTCACTTTTGGTGTTTGTCCTTGAATCTGTAGATGCACATTGTTTTACAAAAACGGGTACTGGTATATGGCACTTTGACAGGTTAAATAAGTATGAAACACTTCTATTTTCAAGCTTCACGCTTGGAAACCTGCAGTCCTCCAAGAAACTGTGACTGCGAATATTTAGTGCAGCAAACTCGTTTTTGCCAGCCAAAGCCCATCCTTTGTACGTCAAGAACCAGCTTGTACGGCATGACGAGTCGAATTTTAACAAATTCAACAAAACCTCGAAGTTGCATTTCACGCTGAGCAAGTAGAGCCCAAATCATGTGCAAACACTAACTGCCAGAAGCTTCAACACTGCGCACCTCTACGAAAAGACGTAGGTCGTAGGTGTTATCGTCGTCAGCAAAGTACACTACACCGCTGGGATCCAGCTGCTGTGCATTGTTTCGTAGCCAACGCAGGCCTTCGTTTCTTTGGAGGACACCTTTCGGAAGAAGCCAGCTGGGATCCTCGGGCTTCAGCTTGCGATCTGCCGGAGTAGCAGCATACAGATGCGTATAGGCCACGCCGCAGCGAGCTAGCAAGTCCGACACCGCAGCTGTTCGAACAGTTGAATCTTCGACAACGATCCAGTGCAAGTGAGGAACCTGTGGAAGATGGAGCGATTAGGAACAAGTGTGGCATTTGGCTCGAGTCTAAAGCATTTTATGTGTAATATTATTGTATAAAATTTTTATTCTTATAATGCTTAAGCTTATAGCGTGCCTCTTAAGCATACTGCTTGTCACAGAGCAATAACTTGCGAATATGCCTACCACTGCCATTCAGTTTCAAGCCAAGCTTATTTTGGTATATGCTTCACTGTTGTCACTAAGAGCACAAGCCGAACAAACTAGCATCAGCTAAACAATCTGCCCACGGTGTCTAAAAAATTTGGTTTAGATCAAAGTATAAATGTATCAAGGTTTAGTGCACACAGAAACTGATTTAGAAACTTGTAAGGGTGTTTGACGAGTCCTTAGAAAAATGCACTAGCTGAAACGAGCACAAAAATTATGAGCCTTATAATTAAGCCATTTCAACAGGAGATTACAAATTTGTTATTGTACTTCCTTTCGACTATGGGATGTATGAACTTCTTTGAATCATCATTAAGATTCCTTCCCTTAATGTAGGGTTGTGGACAGGCTTGTTTTACCTCGCTTGTTTTCAAAATCTTGACGTCTGTAGCTGTAACAAGCGTCCTTCTGTGGTGTTAAGAGCAGCAATCGTGCGCATGTGCTCTGCAAATAAATTTACCTCTCTCCTTTTCATCTTTCTACTACGTTCCTCAAGCACAAATTCAGGGTAGCGAACCTGACTTGTTTAATGTGGTGTTCGGGCTCAGTTTCAACTCAAGTTGCCTTGTGACGCCTCGCACGGCAACGATGTCTAGAGGCACCGCCAGGGTTGCATAAAAGAAAACAAGAGTTTGTGACGAGCACTCGGACGAGGAGGACGTGTCTTTTCGGCGCTCTGCGTCAAGTCGTGTGGCGGCTTCCCCGCGTTGCCGCCGGCACCGTTGGCGGGCTGCGGTGCTACGCTTCTTCTTTGTCGTCTGCGTCGGGGCCGCCTAGACACGATACAGGACGTAAACTACCCGCATTCTGTTTCATCGATTTCTCCCTCTCTTCCGAAGTAACAGAATGATGGTGCCCGGATAGAATAACGTTCGGCGACTCACCAGACGAAATGTATGGCAAAGCCTCGTCAGCTCGGCTTCTTGGACCGGACGTGCATAAGTAGGCGTTATTGCATAAATCACTCGCTGCCGTGTACCATCCGCAAGCTTTTCAACCGCCGCAATGCAGTCTGAATGGACGGCTGACGACACTAGACTGTCGACCTGCACAGCAGAAGAAAAAGAAAAGCATTGTCGTGCGTCATATCAGTCCCGAAACACGCGCACAAGACAAACAAGCAAAGGGAGACGGATGCTTACGATTTTCCGTAGACAGGAGTGCTTCCAGCTTTGCGATATCGCGTACGTTTGGCTCTGATTGAGACATTGCTGCGTGGTTACTGTGAAACAGAAGAAAGCGAGGTGTCAGATCACGCTTTGCTACAGCGCGCCGAGAGATGACGAAGGAACTCACTCAACTGCACCACTAGCCACGCGACGATGAAGCAGACGGCTACTGTCAGGAACCTGTTGCGGGCACACACTTCGGGCGACCATTGACAGCGATCACATGAGTACGACAGATAGCGAAATGCTTATGCGGAGTCACGGGGAGTTTGCGGTGTTGTCGTACAAAGTTCGTGCGGGTTGACATCGGTGCGTTCTTAAAGTAAGAGCGAACATAACTTCACCTATTGAGTATCAATGCGGCACATCTTGAACACAATATGCTTGGCTAGAGGCTAGCTATGGCTTGTGCGTCGGCAGCTAGCCGTGGTCGTAGAAAGTTCTTGAGTCGAGCAACAGTCGAGTCGGGGTCATACGCAAGCCATCAGGAGATCGAAAGAACTGCTGTTGTGTGGTTGTGTGTGTGGCGTATCGTGTTCGCGGTCGTGGCCCACTTAACCAGCGTGATAAGCATCTCCATATCAGTGAAATATCCACCGCAGTTTACTGAAAATCGTTGTCGAGACGTTCGCGTTTCTGTAGGCGCTCTCTGTTCGAGCGCATTTCGCGGAAAAGGTTAAGAGAAACAGCAGCTCACAAGCGCCATGGCGGAAAACACGCAGCAAACCACTCGACGGCTACCGTCAAGCACGAGAGCGGCGCCTCCAGCCCCGCCAGCGGGGTAGGAACGTCCGAGAGCAGGTCGGCGCCTTCGGGTCAGTCCCTGTCAGAGCTGCTGCTTCAGCTCGAGGACTACAGTCCGACTCTTCCCGACGCCGTCACGGCGCACTACCTGAACACCGCCGGGCTTGAAGCCAGCGACCCGCGCGTCGTCCGTCTCGTTTCCCTGGCGGCCCAGAAGTTCCTCTCGGACATCACCAACGACGCCCTGCAGCACTGCAAGATGCGCGGTGCCGGACAGAGCAAGAAGGCGACCAAGGACAAGCGCTACACGCTCACCATGGAAGACCTGACGCCCGCGCTGCAGGAGTACGGCATCAACGTCAAGAAGCCGCACTACTTCGTCTGACGTCGCGCCTCCTGGCCCGCCGAAGGGCCGCCGCACTATGCTGACGACGGAGACGCGGTGTTGTGCCAGTTTGAAGTGTGAGAGGTTGATGCGGTACTTGGCAGACGTCTACGAGTGTTCCTAATCGTGAAGCCCAGTGGCGTTAAATGCTGCGATGTATATAGATGTGTGAAAAAAAAGCTGCAGCCGCTTTCGAATTTCATTTTCGCGGCCCGAAAAATTACGCCGTATAGCGAATCTCGTGAGATGTAAATTGTGAAGGCTAAAAGAAAATACTGCAAGGGTGATGACCTGTAATGGACAACGCACTTCGGTTCGGAGTGTGATCTACACAAAATAAATGCGGTAATAGGACATTCGCTTTGTCTGCTTTTCTACGTAATTGCAGCTTATAGCAAGCACAAAAACGGGGTTTCATAGTCATGAAGGTACCCTCAACATATATCGGTGCCAATGTGGATATGGAAAAATTCACCAGGCCACCTCTGGTTTATTGCCACACTTTGCTGCAGGGACATGGGCTAGTTGCAGACTGTGCAAATCTTGTTTTATACCCACATCACACAAGAATGCAAAAAGTGCTTTACGTTAGCAGTCTCTTTTTACAAGGCGGAAATGCTTTTTAATGTGGAAGCGTTGCTTCACAGACACGCGGCGCTGACAATCTCTTTTTCAGAATTTTGTTGGGGATTCGGCTGCAAACTCGCCACCCAATTGGGACACTAGCTTTCAGAACAGAGGCAGTATGTATTAATATATCGAGTCCAAGTGTCCCACTAACAATTGTAGCCGCTTGCTCTTCACATGTGCCCGGGGTCGTTCAGTCAGTAACGTTAGCCATAGATGCTATGACGCTGTGCACGATTCTTGTGTCCAAGCGTGCGACATGCTAGGCATACAGACAGGATAGCCCCCACCCTGTCAACCTGCTTACAAGAGCACACAAGCAAAATAAAACATGAAAGGGTTTGTTACACCACCAAGAAATATTTTGTTCATTCTGAGTGCAAGTGCCAGAGAAGTAAACATCAAATTATTTTTCATCAATTCATAATTGCTGGCGCCCACTTGTTTCAAGGCTGCTTCATTACGGGCACTGAGTGAGATCGACGAACTCTGTTTCCAGAAAAGACTGCTTGTGAAGTGAAGATTACTTTGTCCTGTGTCTGCAGGCAAAGCTTTTTTTTCCAGTAGTCCTACAAGTAGCCATGTGGCAGAGGTACTACACTGTGCATGCATGTTGCCTGAGCTGGTAGTTTTGGCTTGGACAACACAGTGACAGTGGTTTTTGGGCTCACCCATGCTATCGCTGCACTTTTCCATCTGAAAACAAGAACATAGCTACCAGTTCGCTTAGAATGTTTCAACAGAATGATGATCCTGCATAGATTTATTTGGGCTCGAGACTAACATATTGCAGTACATGCACAATGAAGAACAACTTTCGCTGGTGTAGTGCACTCCTGTGGCACCTTCTCAGTTCGTTGCACACAGCCGCACGGTCTGACCTTGGGAGCGCGGGCGTCAACATGTTTTACAAATAAAATCAACGGGGTGTATGTAACGCAGAACGTTGCATAGTTCGTCCTTTCGATGCACCGGAGCGGTCAGCTCTCCATGGAGAGTCTCAGGGCGGCCTCGAGCATTTCGTCGTCCGAGAGCGTGGACGCCTCGGTGGGCGTCTTGGCCTGCTGGCTTTCCTGCAGACTCTGCTGCAGCGCCTCCTGGAGATCGGGATCGCTGTCTTCCTCGTGAAAGTCATCCGCTTGGCACTGTGGCAGTTCGCCAACCACCACGAAGATGGAGTAACCTGAGATAGGTATTAAGGAAAGCCATACGACATTCGTAAGAGCAAGCATTTCGGCGAGTCGACATGGATAAGTGGTGGAAGTTGAAACAGCGCAAAATGTAACGCAGACTTGTGGAAGGAAAAAGACGAACGGTGTTTGTGTTAGGTGTGCCTTAATTTGTCTGCGTTTGATGATCCGCCACGTGAATTTCCATCAAGAACAGATGTATCAAAGACAATGATATGTGGTATAATGATATCGTAGCATTGCTTAGAATGTACTAATAAAAAATGTAGGTACCACCTACACAGCCATGGCATGCCTGCTAATCTTATATGGGATTAGTGCAGAAGGACTAAGTTAAGCTGCTAACAGTAAAAGAAAAGAGTGAAAAAAATATGTGCGTTTAAAAATGAAGGCTTTTGAATAACAATCGGCAGCAATATAAAAATTAGAGCTATAAATTGAAACAATTGAAAAGGGAGATACATTCAAGTTGTTTCAACAGAGAATTTGCAATAAAAGCTACGAGTTTAATATATTATCTGCAAGTGAATAAGGTGCACGATATTTATAATTCAGAACTGTGGATCCTGTAATTCCGAATTAGTGACAAGGGGTTAACCGTGCGAGCTGGTTTTCATTTAATGGGATACTGAACGAAAATTGGAAAAACCTGACGAAACTCTGCAATTCTACTCAGAAGATGCGACTGTTCTGAAAAACAGAGTTGATTTCCCATATTTTTTAACAGTTGGCTGTATTTTAAGTGACTGTCAGCGCGTGGTGGCTGCAGGCAAGCGGGAGCCGTGACGTCGCAATCGCCGAGGCGCACGCAGGGTGCCCGAGTTCCTGTCCTCTTTCTTTTCTCCACCTCTCTATTCATTCCACTTAACCCCTTCCACAAAAGCACTGATGCTTTGCCTCAGCTAGGAGCATTGTTTGCAACCGGTGTTGTACAAACTCATTTTGGGAATTGTAAAGGAGGGAGATGAGCGAGGTTAGAGACACGGGCGAAGGCTGGCGTTGCTGGCTTGTCCATTTCGGGTGGATGTGACGGCACCAAACGTCGCCTCCTGTCATTCATGGCAAGGCTGCTACACGTGACAGTTTGTTAAAAACGCATTAAATGAATGATTTTTCTCCAGTTGCTGCCTGGAATGAAAGTTGTGTCTATTGATTCCAGAACTAAGTTTTTCGCTTTGTCTGGAAATCTTGTTCAGCATCCCTTTAACGGTTCGTGATTACTACATAAAGTATTACGTTGGGTCAAATCTGCGATGAAATTTACCAGGATGATCAAGTTTCTGACCCAAAACCAGCTACACAGTAGGCTGTATTGGGAAGTCAACCATCCTGAAATGCCCGAGAAGTGCTTGACGTCATGAAAATGAGTAAGCACTACTAGATGAAGCATTCATGCATATTCTCTGTGGGTGGGACGGCGATGGCATTGACAGAGCCATATATTTTCTTATATGTACACTAGATGGAACTCTGGAATTAAGTGTTTATGGGAGCTGCGACACACAGTGCCTCAGCCAGCATGGGAACTGATGGGTAATACACACCAGTACGTTATGTTGGGCTAGTTGGTACATATTGAGTTGAAATATGTGGTGCAAGGTTGCCGATGAGAAGAACGAGAAGAGACAGAAAGAGCGCCAACTCACAACTAAGCTTATTTTCATGAAGCATTCCTAGTATATAGGCTCTTCGGAGGACATGCGCAGAACATTTCATACACCGCACGTGCAGGCATGAACATTTTTGATGATGTAATAAACGATTATTTCAATCATGATATCTAGGAACCAGCAAAAACAGATATGCCTGATGCAAAGTCGTCGAAAAAAAACTAAACACACCCAAGCCTGCGCAAAAAATTCGAGGGAAAAAACGGCAAAAAAAAAGGACTGACAGACACCTCGTAGCAACCATTTAAAGTACATCTAGATCCAACAGTTGGAATTCTCTATTACGCAGCAAAACTGAAGGCACGCTGATGCACGAGTCACCTTTTTTCCTTATGTGAAAGGCTTTGAGTAACTCCCGAGCGCATCCCGGCTCCTTCCAAGTAGTCACGTGCGATCGAACTGCGGCGTGCAGCCACACGAAGCACAGTGGAAGGGTAAATGAGACCCTGTTCCATTTCTAATTGATAAAGAATGCTCCCTTAAACATTCATTTGTACAGCGCCCTGTACAAATGAACCTAATACACAAATTTGTCTAATCTTCGTTCTTTTGGCTTCGCGTGGCTTGGAGCCGCCTTGTCACGAGACGACAATCAGCAAATATTCAGCAGTCGCACTACACGGCCTTAAGCTTTTAGGCTTATCGATTCAAATCTGGTCACAAAATTCCCAACAAGTCTGTTCTTTCATTCAAAAAAATCAAATCGCAACAATGAGCAAAACCACATGTGCGTTCGAAGCTTGCAAGCACGAAGACTAGGCAACTTTGCATACATACCCATCATCTGCATAGTGGCTGAACGATCGCATTGCCAGCGGCCCCTCTAGTTAATTTGAGTAAATGCCATAGGCAGAGCAGACACTTCTTAGGTTGAAAACCGAGTGTGCAGGTTCATTACCTTCCTGTTGTAGCTGAGCGAGGAAAAGTGCGAGGTAGGTCCTGGAGATGGGCTGCGGCCCCGACAGCAGCGAGTTGAGGTTGAACCAGCGGCTGCCCAGCTTGCGGATGGTGAACCAGTGGTCCTTGTAATTGCATATGTAGGCCGTCGACTGCCTGCAAGTGGTGGAACAGGCTATACCATGATCCGAATGCAGCACAACAATACCGGAGCAGTAATAGACATCATCTACTAGCCCGCTATCGCGCTGTTTTCAGACAAGCCTAGAGTTTTTTTCTTTAAAGGGGCCCTCAAACACTTTTTCAAGTAACCATGGAATGAATTCACTGGAAGAGCTTATTGCCTCATGAATTCAACGCCACAAAACATTTCAAAAATCCGTCAAGAGCGAGTGGAGTTGCCAAGATTTGTCGCATACTGCGATTGCATTCTCTCGTCCCGACGAACCCGCTGGAAGCTAAGCAGGGAGGGATGGCAGGAGCAAAAAAAAAAACACACACACATCACGCGCGCCTCGTCACCTTGAGCACTTTTTTCGAATGTGCGGCTTTTCCAGTGTGATCGTGTGTGCACGCGTGTACAAGTTGCAGACTCCTGCAGCGGTCTCTGTAACGACCGAGCGTGCCATTTTTAAATCAGCCAATGGTTGATTGATGGGCTATATAAAAGTGATTTTTGAGCGTCTTCCGTGATTTGTCGAGCGAAGAGAAGGCAATTTTTAGCTGACTGATGATTTATTGTGAATTACAGGCCAAGTGCTGTGCTATAATATTTGGATCGCGTGTTGTTGGGAGCGGCGTTTCCTGACCATGCTCAAAAAGTGGTGCAGGGCCCCTTTAAAGGGACACTAATTTCAAATGCCATATCAGATTATGCTATTGAATTACTATGTTGAAAAATGCTATCCTCGTTAACTCACCAACCATTATGAATGAAGAAAAATGAACGCTGAACTTTCATTCCTGAATATGAAGCGTACGTCACAGCACACAGGTGTCAATGCGATGACACAAATTCCAAAGCCTTCTACTTTCTGGCCAAATTGGCTCAATATTTTCCTGACACTTGTCGGTCAAGTTCCTGGTTCCCTCAGAACAAAATGTAGTTCATTTATGCCAACTGATTACGATGTACAGCCCTTGCAGATTGCCTTCAGAAAGTAGGACATCACGCAGAGGCAATGCAGAAACTTTTGCAGGCGGATGTCAGCCACCACTATTTTCTTCTTGTGCCTTTCTGCGACCTACCTGAGCCTACCTGCCCACTTGCAAGGGTGGCACTTTTGTGACTCAGGAAGGGCAATTTACGTATACATGTGCAAACCTGTTTTTTCTATTTAACGTCCCTTTTAGAGCTTTGAGCACTGACAAATCAAGTACTTCGAGAGATTCCTAAGCATGCATCTGTTTCTAATACATTTCTTCTTGTTCTTATTTTGCTGGCAGTGGCTGGCTGCAGTTTACAGAGAAAATGTTCTGACAAAGCCACCAATAAATGTTCCCAAGCTATTTTGAGGCCTTCAGGCACAGATTCATTTGCGAACATAGAGGCCCACAAGCCGTACTGTAACACGACGTAATTGCCACTACGCCAAGCAGTGTCATAACCCTTCTTTTACGAAACCCTCTTTGTACGAGTCAGATAGCTCCCCTATTCTATTACCAGAGCGGCATTCCGACTCCTCTGAAGCTAGCCACATACACCCCCAATAAACGTGTTCTATGAAACCCTTTCGTCTCCCACATGAATAGCCAACCAGTATAGCTATTAACGACATTCGAAAATGATTGGTGAAGTGGATATTCTAAAAATATGTAAAGAAAAGAACCTGCAACCGTAGGCTTAATTACTAGCCTTACGTAGGATCTGCTTGGGCTGCCTGCGCCACTGCATCAGTGCTGCTGTAAGGCACAAGTTCGAGGCCCCACACTTTGAGTGCGCTGGCAATCACTTGCACAGAGAAGTAGCCACTGTCGTCCAGGTTCCCCGATGGTTGCTGCGTTCGAAGAGAAGTGAACCTTTTGCACAGTGTCACACAATGAGCCGGGAATGATAGAAGAGCTAGTTTACAAGAGCAAGCTCCTACTTTATGATGCCCTCGCATGGCTCTGGTGTTTATTTGGGAACTGGTTGACATTTGGAGACGTGCATAAACTATCCAAGAAATATTGCATATGCAAATAGATCCTAAGTTTAATAGGACACCATTTGAATTTTATATGAAAAATTTTCAAAAGTTGACACAGCCCAAAAGTTTTGCTTTTAACTTCGAGTGGTCAATGAAACGAAAATTTTCAGTTCACGTTGGTTGGTGTCTAATCAGAGGCCGAGCTGTCAAGAGCCCAGAAAACTTGCTGGTAATTTGCATGGTGGTGTAAAATACGAATGGGCTGTTAAAAATTAATTACATATTTTTTATAAGCTAGTCTCCGTATTGTTGTTCCCTGACATCTTAATATGGTAAACGTGATCCACATGCGAAAATTTTCAATTCACGTTGGTTGGTGTCTAATCAGAGGCCGAGCTGTCAAGAGCTTAGAAAACTTGCTGGTAATTCGCATGGTGGTGTAAAATACGAATGGGCTGTTAAAAATTAATTACATATTTTTTATAAGCTAGTCTCCGTATTGTTGTTCCCTGACATCTTAATATGGTAAACGTGATCCACATGCTCATGAAAGAGATAACGTGACGTTTCCTTGGTTACTCCGTTGCAACATGCCAGTGGATATTTTGTACATATTGGTGCATTACATCGTCACAAGTAGCCACACTAGTGCATGATGTCACCAGAATTTATACCGTAGCCTTTTACGTAAAAATAAAATATCAGCATTTTCTAAGCCTCTCACTTGCTCCGAGCTGCATGTGTAGACCGAACATTTGTATGGTGATGTGACACAAATAAAAACTGGCGTGACATGATTCGAAAAGTAGCATAAGTAACGCTTCGACAGCTGGCTCAAGTTTTAACTCGTGCGCATGCACAGAACGCTGAGGTTCGCATGGTGGTAAAGTCTGTTATTGGGAAAACGGGCGTCAGCACGCCTTCATCGGCATACGAGTCGGGTCACGTGTAACTCACTCACATGCACGAAACGCTGGTAGTCGTCGCTGTTCAGGCCCCCTTCGGCCATGGTCTCGCGTTCCTGCTCGTCAATTTGCTGGGCAATCGTTGCCAGGTCAACAGCAGTGAAGTACTCGCCCTGAAGCAGTCCATTGAGGCAGTGCTGGGCACACAGCGAGCCTTCTTGCTGTTTGAGAAAGAGAGAGAGAAAAAGACAAAAGCAGGTCACTGCACGAAAGCACCTTAGAAGTGTGGCAGCTTGGGCTAGTTGGTATGGCATGACGATAGTTATAGCGCGAGAACAAAACGACGACACAGAGACAAGAAGGACACGAAAGCGCTCGTGTCTTTCGTGTCCTTCTTGTCTCTGTGTCGTCGTTTTGTTCTCGCGCTATAACTATCGTCACGAAAGCACCGCGTTTAATCCAACAACGAAAACATTGCACACAGCTGATAACTACACAGAGCCAATGATTGCAACGCACGAGCTACTGATACCGCTATAACCTGCATGACCATAGAAACTATAGAGCTACGGATACCACTATCATCTCTAAAGCAACCTAACAAACCCGTTATTCTGGTCGTCCAACCTATCTGCACCGCGGTGACGGAGTAGCTGGCACCCACGGTGTCGATTGGCGTTAACACACAAACGCAATACCAACTGTACCATTGTATTGAAGTCGCGAATATCGTAGCTAGTCTTATTTTAAACGCCGTGAACTCCAACGTTCGCGTTGTGCGTCTGTTTACAAAGTGACGCTTCACCAAACAAGAGCCTAGGTTTCCGAAGCATGAGACATGTTTTGACAGCAAGCACAACAGATAGTTCAAAAGACTATATAACGAAAGTTGTTGCTAGCGTTTCATTTATTTTGGTGAACGAACAACACAAACGCCAAGGGCGCACAAGAACTCACAGACGTCGGCGTCTCCTCGCGTTGTTTTGCCACAGTTTCTACCTTAATTTCTAGTTCGATCGCTATTTTATTCAGAACAACTCGGTTCCTACATCCAGCGGCGACGCATAAATTAGCAGCGAAGTGAACCCCGTAAACGCGTTTAAACATGGAAGTCACTGAAGGCGAAACTAGAAACAAAGACCGCGTTTGAGAGAAAATTATCATTCACCGACGCAAAATTCGGGCTCTCACCTTCTCGTGGAATATCCGTTCCATCCCTAACGGGGGCACAGCCGCACGTCACTAAGAATCGTAGGCGGCTATGCGAACAGGGCTAGCTCGGCTCACAGCAGCACAGGTGCCCATTTTCGCAATGTCCGATGATCATTTTTAACCGTCCGAAAATGGAGCTTTCCGGCACCGCTGGTTTTGAGTAGGCGGATGGTTCTCACGTGGTCGGTAGTAATTAAAAAAGGCGTGGCGCGGGCACGCACACACCGACGCGCAAGTTTGCCGTTCGTCTGAACACCGATGTAAGTAAGGCACGTATGAGCTGCGGAGAACGAGTCAATTTCGCGTGACGATCTTCATGGGGCACGTTCGGGCGAGGCGATCTCGTCGCAGATTCTTGCTCACGTAAACATCACCACCTTTCCGAGTTGCGGTTTCGGTAGCGCCGCGCCAGGTTACCGGGCACCAGCAAGCGATGGCATTGTTGCGAATTCCTCAGTATATTAGTCCAATAATAACAAAATTGATTACGTTGTTTCTAACGCGTTTTGACGATTTGAAGACGTTGAATTTGCGAAGTGATTATACGTAAATAGCTAAAAGTCTTTTTCACAGGTCACTACAGTCGAGTCAAGCCGATTCGGAAGACAGGAACGGACAAGCTCGAGCGAAGGTCAGGTAAAGCACACGGCTTAGAAACTCGGGGTTGGTGTGTTGTTTTCTCCCGTTGCGTGTTTTTAAAAAAAAAGTACGACTGCAATCTTGTTATTCATTGCATTTCATTCGTCTACCCTTCAGGAGCGGCTTTTAGGAGCAGCTCAGCGTCTTGGTTTATGGCACGTCACTGCTGGTGCTACCCTGCTGGACAAAGTCAGGCCCGTGCTTCAAATTTTGTGGGCGATACTCTGCCACCGTCCTGTTCCCGACCATCAGCGGCTACCTCATTTACGCCGATTACTCGCGCACCCAACGGTGGAAAAAAAGCAAGGCTATCTCTGAGTGAGCGGCAAGGACGCAGTAACGATTCAGGTGGGTCTTACCTTCGGTGGCCATGCAGGTTAAACCGGAGGTCAAAGTCAGGTTTACCACGTAATCGCGCACGTAGTACGCGGCAGGCATTGCGTAAATCGCGCCTTAATATTTCTCATGCGAGTCCCAATTGAGAATATGTGTTGTGTCCTGCTATGCAGCCGCTAAATGTGCCTGCGTTCGTCGCAGTTTCTCGCGCGCCGCGTGTGTGCCCGCTTGGTGACGTGTTGATTCTTCTGTCTGGTACATTTGTGCACTGCCGTCCCTATTTTAGCGCACTAAAATTTAGACTAATGTTATCGGCGTCTAAAACCTACCATGCGCTTCGTAGTACAGTCGGAGCGAATGAACGTTACGTAGTTTAGGTGCGGACCCAAGGGTTTCAGCAGTTAAGTCACTGCTGGTAAAAAGGAGTATGTGGTCGGTTTATAAAAAAAAAACTTTTTGCGTTAGTGTGTGTGTGTGCAGTGTTGCAAACACTTAAAAAAAAGAATATTGATACAGACTCCAGGATATCTATACTCGACCCTGTTGTGTTACTACTTCATACTGTTGGGCACGAATTTATGTCAGTCATGTCACCATCAGTATAGTGTCGTATGCTGTCATAACGGCGTGTGGCAGTGCACACCGGGTGAAACGACCCATATCGACACGATAAGACAATACAAGCGCGTTTCAGCGCTCGTGGTCTTTTGCGTTAGTCGTTTCACTTGGTGTGTGCAGCCGTTCGCTGTAATCGACAACTTAGCCTGCAGCTTCAGTACTCGCGGATTGGAACAGGACAATTTAGGGCCAAGTAACACACATACTTTTGTTTTCATCGTCTTCAGTTCTAGATATATTGGTGTAATTTAAACTCGTACACGTAATTTAGAGCCAACATTACCAGTACAACTTAAATTTATTGCCACATTATGTGGTTATCTCTAGTAATTATGCATACCAGTCATTATACTAGAAAATTTAATGTTGCATTTGAATTCACGTGAGAACAGTACATTTTGTACATGTAGTCATTATAATACACACTTTACAGTAGCATCAATGAGGTCATCATTTGTTGCTTATAAACATGCTTTCTGGCGGCCAGCACCTCTATAAACAAAACTTTTAGGCGCAAGGAACAGCACCCCTACTGCCCTTTTTCTTTGTGCCTAAAGCTTGTGTTCGCATCAATTCGTGCTTTCGTCCACTGAAAATCACACATTTCACAAAAGTAGCTTGAAAATTGTCGCACGGGAATCTTGTGCTATCAGACAAAAATGAAATCATGCAGAGCGTAGGAGTGCCGAACCAAATAACTAGACCACTACATTGATAACGTAACTTAAGTTGGTAGCCTGTTGCTGATGGTACTGGATCTGTGCAAAAAATATAGAGAACAACATTTTCCTAACTTGATTGTTGTTACAAGCTGCCACTCTAGCGTCGCCAGCGCGAAGTCGGCGACGGGAATGACAGCAGGTTAGTTCGTTCCGTACGCAAGCAGAGACAGTGAAGAGATGAGAGACGTGAGAAAACAAAACAAACTTTACTCTAGTGATATTGCAGCACACGGGATCTAATACAACACTTCAATACAACTAACAAAATACATCAACACTTGATACAACTAAAAAATACATATAAAAAACAATAAATCAGCTTACGCGAGAGAACTATTGCAAACTACACAAACTAACAACAATAGACTACGGAGGAGAAAGTTCGAAGATATAAACAGGTGAAGGCATACATGTGATGACCGGCAGCGTTGCGTCCCCGACGATCGGATGCGAGAAGTCGAAAAGAGTTCTGGCACGACTGCGATGTCGGTGGTGTTGCAACGCTGGTGGCTCTGGGAGGCTAGTGCTTGCAGGTGACTTTGGGCAGGTTGAGCTAACTCGAGGCGAAGTCCCGATGTCTACGTTGCGGACGTTAATATCGCGTCACAACTAGACGAACGGCTAAGTTTAGGTGGCCAGCCGATACAGAGCCACACTAAAAACTTCTAGAAGAGATGCTTGTTGATCTGTTTCTACACCATGTTGGTCAGCGACTAGTCTGCCTAGCAGGGCAAAATCCTGCGCTTAAATCCCCCTCGTGTCTCCTCGCTCTCTTCCTTGGGGACAAGAGACCTCTACATGGGTCCAATCATGCGCGTTTCCTTGATGGAAACTCCGCCCCAAAAATATATTGACCCCGCCCTTTTTAATTGGGAGAGGGCCCTTAACTAGCGAGAGTGACAACCTGTTGGGTTGTTGTCATACGGCTTGGCCACCAGAAGTTTTCCCACGCTTTTGCCCGTGGGAAACGGTCAGACTGTTTGTCTCTCAGCCGGTGCGTCCCGTAGTCTAATTCTTGTTCGAGGTACATCGCGGTCTTCCACGACTTTGCAGACGCCGCCGCAGTTACAAAAGGATCAAACGTCAGCGGCGACGTTCCAAGAAGAGCACCCCATTCTGCACTTCCCGGCTCTCTTTTATGCGCCCGCCGTTCCCACGGTCAGTGGGGAAGTACGGCACCCGTTAATTGCCGTGATGCCGGGTCGCCAAAATTGGCCGTCCGTGACAATTGTACATCCTAGCGTGCTCACACTGCGGTTGCTCCTATTGGGAGATGTGGCCATCGAGACCAGCCTAGTGCCAGTTGCTTGTGAGAGTTAATTCAGGCTCAATCATGTTTTTAGTGGACGCGTGTCGAGCGACTGTGCAAGTGCAAAATCTAGCAAATCGGACAGCGACTCGACATTCAAATGTTGTGTTGGCCTGATGACTAACGGCACTGAATGATTCCCAAACCCCCGTACAGCCCGGGCTCTGCACAAGCAGACTATCCACAGTACCCAAGGTACATTCGAAGAAGCTTGTGAGTACACCCTTAAAGAACCCAGAACCACCCCGAGGTTGAAATTCAGTTGTGGACAATTACAACATCGTGTTGTAGTTGTTCGCAAGTCTACCACAAACACGTAGCCACAAAGATTTTTCAAACGGTGCCGTAGTAGTGCAGTTGCACAGATTTGATAATCGGAAAGCGGGGATCGCTCGTTTCACTCTTTCCTTCGCTACCCCCCATTCGTCGGCTGGTCTTCTCTCCCAAAGCTACCTTGCCCTTCACCGAGCGCCCCTTTCGATCTCGCGTGGCATACGTCATTGCCGACGTGCTCTTCGAATTACCGAGCGCCCCTCCCGATCTCGTGTGACATACGTCATTGCCGACGCGCTCTTCGAATTATCGAATTAGTGTCCACTTCCGGTTGCCGTGCATCTCTCAACTGCATGCTTTTCTGCTGCCCAGTGTTTTTTATTCAGTTGGCTAGGCACAACTGTTGGTACACTATTCACTTGAAACTTGAGTTAGGGGCCACAGTTGCCAATTCGCAAGTGCGCACACGTGGGCTACAATATGAAGAACAGCAAGAAGCGGGGGCAGCTGCTTGTAGACCAACCGGAAGTCGTAGGGTCTTGTTCAACCAATTGCAGCATTGATTGCCGTTAGCATCACAGATGCAGCATGTTGATGTAGTGCGCATCGCTGAGAAACCCGGAGAGGAGAAGGGATTGTTTCCGTGAATTTGCGTCGCACCCAAGGCTTGTGGTGCTGTCACGTGTGAAGGCGTTCTGAGCAAAATGTTCATGTTTGCTTGAAATCTTTGACGAGAATGTCTGAGGTGGTTTAGGACCTCTTTAAAAGGACACTCAAGTCAATAACAATTTACATGAGACTGAAAGTTCAATGTATGACAACATCTGAAACGACAATATTATCAACATGAGTGCCCTACTTACCGAGAAATTGAGGGAAATGTAGGAGAAGACATGTGCCACAGTTCGACATTCTCAAATATGGTCCCAATCACGTCAGAGCTAAAGCTTACAATTAATCGCTAGTAATCGAACCAGCTGCACTTAATACCTTCCGTGCATCAAGAAACGTAATAAAATGCTGCTTGTAATAAAATAACTGCCGGTACGTTACTATGGAGAATGGCGCAAGTGGTTGAAAAGTTCAATTTTCACCTGGCTAATCTGGACAGGTCGTGTCATCTACCAAGGCCCCGTTGAACCAAGCACATCTGCCATCTCGGAGCCAATGGCAGGAAATTGTTCAATGACCGTTGTTGCTGCTGTGGCTCCCGCTGATTTCGTTCTGCTGATACTATTGTCGGCGGGCCGCGCAGTAAAGCCGGGCAACGTTGTGCATGGCAACAATGACGCGAGACGGTTCTGCTTGAGGCGAGTAATTTGAACACAATGCGGACAACTAAAACGAGATTTTATTTCAAAATAAGCAATTCTTTGTCACAACAGTAACACTACGAGGTATCTAGACCGCAATTCCAACAATAAACATCGACTTAATAGTTGCCTTCAGCGTTCTAGTTTAGGACCTTCTGAAATGCACAGTAATGGTAGCCTTTGAGGCATGAAAAAGCTATAAGCAAAAGTGTGTCATTGCTTATGGGACTATACCTTGACAACTTTTCAGGCATTGCAGCTATATCTCTAATAAATCTATTTTGCTTAAACTTTTTCCAATACCTTATATGCAAACCCTGTAATACACCAGTAGGCAGACTTGCTAGAACGTTTTAGGAACATACCGTAAAAACCAGAACATAGGTCGAATTTTTCTTTTAAAAAACGTGATAAAAAGTCGACCCTCGTCTTGTATACCGGTCATTGGCAGAAAAAAAAATGGGGAAGTCTCGCAACAATGGACAGCTGAAGTTAAAAGCCTTCATTGCCATCGTGAGCATCAGCAGCGGTGTCATTGGGCAAGGCTACAGTGAACCAGATAGTTCACTACAGCAAGGCTAGGCAAGGCCTATGGTGTACTAGCAACGCCATGTTGCTTCAATTATCTTTGTCAGTATGCTGTTTTCTTTCTTATATTTCTTTCAGAAATTAGTGGTAGTCGGCGGCAGTTTACGATAGGATTTAAGAAAAAATTTATCGAGTATGCGAAAGCGCACAGCAACCTGGCGGATACAATGGGAATTCGGTGCATCAGACAAAAGCGTCCTATACTGGAGGAGCCAGTAGCAGTGCATCACATCCTAGCAGCAACCAAAAGAAAAAAAACTTCATATGTGGACGGACTGCAGTGCACCACGAACTGAAAGCGCTACTTGCAGAATTCGTCCGGGAGCTGCATGCAAGGTCGCTGCCCATGACAGCGGAGTGCATCCACGTGAAAGCTATCGAGATAGCACGCGACTTTGGGCTCACGAGGGCACAATTCAAGGGCTTGCCATCCTGGGTGCACCGATTTATGAAGCGGAAGGGCTTTTTGCTGAGTTGACGTACTTCCATGTGCCAAAAAGCTGCCCAAAGATTTCGATAACAAGCTAGTCGAGTATCAGCAGCTTCACCATCGGGCTTCATCGACAGCATTGCTGCATGATGGGACACATGGGCAACACCGACGAAACTCCAATTTTGTTCTATATGCCTTTAAACCGGACTGCGACCGCTAAAGGATCCAAGCAAGTGAAGTTCTCGACTACGGGCAGCGAGTATTCGCAATTTACAGCAATGCTCATGTGTACAGCTGATGGAAATGAGCTGCCTCCTTATATCATTTTCAGGAAAAAAGGGGCTACCAAAAGAAGACTTTCCCCGGAGTGTTATGTGAGAGCGAATGAAAAAGGGTTCATGAATAAGTCCCTCATGCTCGAGTGGAATCGGCGACCCGGTGCGCTTTTTAAGCGACCGAGCATGTTGGTGGTCGACTCATTTCGAGGCCACCTCATGGCTGATGTAAAGGGAACTCTGTCCAATGGCAAGACAGAGGTTGCTGTGATCCCTAGGGGACTAACATCAATCCTCCAGCCACTGGACGTAGGGCTCAATAAACCCTTCAAAGATCGCTTGAGCGAGCTCTACAATGAGTGGATGCTGGGCAATGCTGGGCTGCCTAGGACATCCACCGCTTGGAACAGTTTGTGGCTGGGTGTCGTCAGCTTGGAAATGTCTCCTGGAAGAAATGGTGTGGAAGTCTTTCCGCAAATGCTGCATCAGCAACGCATTTGATGGAATGGAGGACGATGCACTCTGAGACTTAACTAGTGAGAAACAGACGTCGGACTCAAGTTCGGACAAGTCTAAGTGACAGAACTTTGTGGCCTTCTGGTGTTTAACTACATAAGATTAGTGTTGAAATAAAAAGAAACGTCACCACAGTGCAGCTGGTTGTGTCGCGTACTTGTCAAGGTAAGGGTTCACCGCGATACTTCGCAATTTTTAAAAATTTCTTTCAATTTACTTATTTTTTAAACCAAAATATAGAGTCGACCTATATTTTGGTTTTTACGGCACAAAGAGCTGCAAGCATTTCCAGTGAGTTAATTTGCTGAAAAAACTTTCTGTTTCAGTGTTTGGCAAGGAGCTGAGTTGGTGACATGTTCCCTTTTCAGGATGACACTGCTGGCAACGTTGTTGCGCAGATCAAAGTACTTCGTCGCTATCCCCATGTTGACTGTCGCTGGTGCCATCGGATGGTATGTTGACCACGAGACAACCTAAGCCTGACCAGGTTTCGGGGGAAAAGCAAGCTCTACGGCCGGGATTATGCGCCAGGCGAGAAGCCTCCGTGGCCATGAAAGAAAACATCCATACTTGAATAAACCTGAAATCTGTAGTTAAAACTTGTTGTTTACCATACCACTCGCACATGGATGTGCGAAGATGTTTTGAAGGAACCCTCATGGGACGAGGGATTTCGTGTGCATGTTATTAGTACTGTTGCACAATGCCAGTAACACAATTCTCGTCAAACACAGCAGAAATGATTTACAAGTAGAAGCACTACCTTCTTGTTCCCGTAATATATCACCGTGATCCTTCAGATTTTGACAACTTCTGGGGCCCATGTGATTCTTCATCGTAAATATGAAATACACTGTTTACTGCACAGGCCATGCGCTTAACATTGCAAGGTTTACGAAACATGCATTGAGCTGGTGTGGCCCAAGTACAAAACGTTTTAAAATTATCGATTTCATGCTTACTTTCAAGTGGCTGATGTTTCATTGGAAAGTTCATTACGAAATATTCAGACATTTGCTTTTTAATGATAAATCCATGGTCACGAAAGCCATAATCCTCCAGGAATCATTTATCAATCTGGAATGATTGTTTCAACTTGGTGCCTCTTTAGCTACTACAAAATGCAGAAGTTTCTTTGTGTTAAGAGTCAAGTATTGCCAAATCTTGTAGGAGATGTTCATTGTGCTCTTTTGCACAATGTGGAAGTCTGGAGATTGAGCGCCGACCACTTCCAGTAAATCGAACATCGTAGGCGAGAGCACTTGATTATCACTAAGTGCTCCTGTGCTGTTTACATGCAATCGGCTGTTTAACTGCATTTTAGTGGTGTTTAAAGGCAACCAGTCAAATGCTACGAGAAAATGTCGTCGGGTAACAAAAATGTTTGTTGAAAAGCTCTAAAGAGATTCACAGTGATATGACCACTCGCAGATACTATTTCGCTGAAATGATTCAGTGGCAGTTCAATGAACTCCTAATAGAGCTTGGCTGACAGTTTGTATGTTCCCTTCCACATCAAGAACCGAACGTCATTGCACCGAACTTCTGTCTGCAATTTTTTTTTCATTCGTCACTTGTTTCTTCACCACCTGGCTTGCCATATTCACATTAAGATACGGAATTCTGCACTGCATCCTACATAGTAGCAACCGGCTAAGTATTAATAGCCATATATTCTATTTCATCTGTGGAAGTAACACAATAACAAGTAACACATTCAATGGACCACGTGCACTCCGGAAATTTGTGTCATGTGCTCAACTCCACTTAGGAACCTGCTGCTTAGCTGTTGTTCCATAGTGAACAAGGGATCAACACTGATCCCAAAACGCCGTTTTGTTTTGACGTTGGTCAGTGACCTGTTCTTTAACAATGCTTTTAACTGGCCAGACGGTACTCCGTTGAACTCTTGAATATGTAATGCTGTGCAAGCTACGCAGTAAGTTTCGTCAGCAAAATGAGGAAGATCATGCATTTCGCACTTGGATTTTGTCATTGTAAGCAAGTCCTCCATGATTGGCTCCAATTGCGCGCTACCGAAACTCTTCATGGAGACTATACGAAATGCGAAGACTCTCTTAACGATCCAGTGCAATCTATCAAACCTTATAGATAATGAGGTTTGTTAATTTCTATGGCACAAAGCATCTTCATTTATAACTGAAAATAGAATGCAAGCCACATTGGATGCAGATAAACTAATTCATGCCTAATTTCTGCCCGCGCCTGTTTCAGCACTTACAATGGCAGCTGTAATGCCTAAAAAGCGTGGATGGGCAAATAGTGAATTTGAGGTTCGATTAGTTTTGAATCAAATAGTTTGAATTGCATGCATCGCATATAAAAAATAGCATTTTTCTTTTCAATGAGTAGGGAAATTACAATATTAGCAGTATATCAAGCAATAAGGCCCAACTTACAAGCGGTAAAAAACGTCAAGTTTTAAATTTCCTACTTTTGGCGCACATAGCCTTAACACGGTTTTAAACTAAGAAAAAACAACAACAGGTGAGAGAACTTGCACACTTTACCCTTTAAGTGTGGGTTTGAGGCGGTGCGCAATAATCTTTTTTTTTCAAAAGGTGGTTTCTCAGCATAGCAGCTCCACGCTGCAGTGAAACCGCCATTTCAAGCAGTTACACGCGGTCAAGATAGGCCTATTCGTTCAGTTTGAATAATTTGAAGAGGTACTGACACAATAAAGTTTTCTCTCTCTCTCTCTGACCCGAAAACTTTCAATTGCCACTTTTTTTTTGCATCAAATGATAGACCAAGCCTTCAAAAGCCTTGGAAATGTACTGCTAAGCATAAGTGCACCCTGAGAAAAGTAATTACAGTCTGTTTTTGAAAGTTAGTATCGGTTCCCTACTGCACTGTGACATCACAACACAGTACGAGCTCGTATCGTCACATCTCTATGACTCCACGGCATTGTCGGTGATGCACAAGCGGTCATTTTGAATGTTTTGAAGGCACACAAGCGGTCATTTGGGAAGTTTTGGCGCCTGATATCACAACTAGCCACACTGCTGTGAGAAATGACCAGAATTTGTACTGTAGCCTGATTACAAGCTAGTATCAATGTCTGTAGGCTGCGTCTCGGGGAAATTGAATTTGATATCAAAATATTAGATGCAAAGCACCTCTTTGACTCACGTGTGTAACGCTGTATGTACGTGCATCCATACAAACACGCCTCAACGCGTTCCCCTCGCTGCAGGTGTTTGAGCAGTGCCAAGTAGGCCACGCCCCAGCTGCGCGTTGACGTCACGCTGCCCTCGCAGGCTTCTTTCGCAGTTGTGCGCCGACGTCACTCTCTCCCTCACCCGCAGCACGTCTGCCACAGCGCGACGATCGGTTGTGCCCCCGCGATCTTCCACTGACAGCGCAGCTCTGGCCGACTGGCTCGCCCTACGCCATCTCCTGACGCCGACAAGAGCTCTCACTGAGTGGTGCCCGTCCTCAGACTTCTGCGACCAGTGTCCATCTTTCCTATCTTCTCCTTACTTCTGGATGTCACTGTCCCTGCACCACGCTCTCTCCTCCCCTCTTTCTATCTCTATACCTTTTAATTACTCCTTGCCCCCAATCCCTCGTGAGCTACTGTTGAGGTGTCCTCCCCCTGAGAGACAGTTACGGGGCTTACTTTTATCTTTTTTTCACTTAATAATCACATAAGAATCACATCACATAAGCTGCCAGCTCCTCCGCCCGCTCGCAACACACTTCTCTCTCACTTCACACTCTCCACCGCTCGCAATGCTCGACCGCACGTCGCGTGGAAACACTCTTCCAGCTCGTCTATCTGTTATGAAACTTACACAAAACCCAACCCACCTCCCGTGTCTTTGCGTTTCAAATAAGCGTTTACTCGAGTAAATGCTACACCGAGCTTCACCTCAAACCATTCTTCCAGCACCCGCGTCGACGCCCGTTTCAACCGGGTCAACGCCGTGCGGACTGCTGCTGCTTCGCATCCCATGCGGGAGATTTCCCATAATTTCTTGCCAGCATTGCTGAGCCTCACACTTGCTCAGGGCTGCCTACACACATGCACACACACACATGCACGCACACACACACACACACACACGAGAGATTTGTATGGCAGTGTCAACACACCTCCAGATATTGGTGTCAGTACCTTTTGAAAGCGGTACTGACACAAAAATTTTGACCTGCTGTTTTTTTGCTGCAATGTGTTGACCGGGGGCCTGTTTGTCACAACACAGCACATCGTTTGCTGCAGTGCGACAGATAATTACTTACAAGCTCCTTATTACCAACCAGTTTCTGTATGAGAGAGCTTCAAATACAAGCCGCTAGGTGTAACTATCGAACAATCAGCCACCTAGCGGGTGCAGCTTTCAACCACGTCAGCACACGGTACTGTGACGCACTTTCACGCTGCCCGCATCGAGGGGTTTTCTGAACAGGAAACAGGTCTGCAGTGGCACGAAGCAAAGCTTTAAACGCGTTCGCTGCAGCCACAGACTCTCGAGCCACTGCTGGAAAAAACCCGGCAAATGACGAATGGCGTCTATGACATCATCACAACTTGTTTTATTGACTGCAGTGTTGTGACGTGAAGGAAGCAGGGGGGTCACCTTTGTAGGTAAAGGCCACGCTACAAAGTTAAGGATGACAAAAACTGGGCTAACACAAAGCGCATCTAACAACTGAATTTATTGGACGAAAAACCAAAAAGGGCGTGGGGTGACATACAAGGTCACCTTTGATGGTGTCAATACCTTCAGAATTCAAACTTCAAAATTCATGTAAAATACCTCCTAAGGTATATTCGCTGCCGATATTTTGCAAATGATATAAGCATGTTCACAGAAATCAATCCAGCAGGCTATCTCGGCCATGAAATTTTTGAGTACCCCTTCGAGTTCGTGTCGGAGAAAATTCTAGCAGTGCTGTAATATTCGAAGAGCTTGAACATTCGTCGGTCCCTACTAAAAAGTGCTCCAGGGGGACTAAGAAAGCTTGAGTGATGTTGTGGAAACCACTGCTGCTACTTCCATACTTTACATCATTCACTTTATTTACACAGAAGTACAGACAACTCTACATTGTAGTTGTGCCAGACTCGAGAGAAAAAAACTTAGTTCCCAAATTTGAATATAGAAAAACTGATGCCAAAGACATCAATGCAAGTACCCTACCTAACTTTGGCTGAATCCAGCAAGAAAAAAGAAAGGAGCCAAGTAGGCCATTGTAGTACTTACTGGTATTGCAGCTTACGACTGACTGTGTACCACTCGGGTCAAAAACGGGCTAGGAAACTGCTGCGCAGAACCCCTTTCTGCGCTGTTATTTCAAAGTTTCACGCTGGCGCGAGTTGTGGATTAGCTATAAAGACAGAACAAGCACCCTTCATACGTGATCCGCGTGAAGTCTATATTAGTAAATGTCCTACGCGACCACAGCACCTCCAACAACACAAATGACTATGTTTAGCAGCTGCTTTCAGCAATTGCTCGATGTGGTGATCTATGTGCAAGTTGCGTAGAATGCAGCAGCACTAAATTTTACAACGGGCAAAATGCAGCATGATGTAACACTAGGCATTCGTAACAAGGCCGTTCTGAAAGATCCCGCTAGATCGTATCAATTTCATTCTACAACATTCCTTCCTAATGAAAGAAAAAGAATATTTGTGGAGTTTCGGGTTTAGTTGCGCACCTGTGTGCATAATCAGTGATGCACAAGGAAGTGTGCACCTCTTCTGCAGACGCACACAAAAAGAACGTTATTCAATACTGTCTTGTGCGCCTACTCAGTCTCGTTTCAGCGGCAGTTGCGCACACGACAGAACAGACGTGTGCTCTCACATTCAGTCTGTTCTATAAACGGCGAACACTCTTCTACTGGCAACATCAACTCCATTCAACTAACATGGTTGGCGGCACCAACCACCACTGTTCGAGAGTCCACAGAGCACGACATCGTCACTGCCGTTTCCAAAGTCCCATGGCCCAAGATCGTTGGCTGGGGCTTGGCTCCAGGGGCGCCTGCTGCTTCTCTTCCTGCAAATTGCAGGCAGCATGCTTTATGTGAGGAACGTGCTGGTCACGTGCACAAACTTATCCAAGGCAGGTCACAAGGAAAAGGAACAGACGTCTCTATCACTGAACTAAGACTGAATGAAGAAAATGTAAGTGTTATAAGAGTCAATAGCCAACGCTAGCAAATAACTAGGCATCTTCAGGCGGCATAAGGCGACATTTAGCTGACACTATCAGGTGCTTGTGTTATGCACGTAAATACGGTAGTTGAAGTCACAAGACTGAAGGGGAAGCTCTGCTAGAATGCGCTTCTTTGGGACTGGCCCATATTTTATTGAGGGAGCATTACTCGGCTGTCATGGGAAGCAGTGGTGCGAACGAAAAGATGGCGAACAGATTACATCATATTCGAGGCTGTGCACGCAGACACTCGTAGATCGAATGCTTCAAAACTGAAAGTTTATAGTGCTCTAGATAGTGACTAGGTAGTGCTCGACAACAGGAAAGGTAAAGTGAGCATGGCACGGTGCAGCGATGTAACGCTCTGGGCCACTAAGAGAAAGCTGCATAGCCGTGCCGCCAGAAGCTGGTGAAGAACACGCAACTGAGCGACAATACCCGATCCAGGCTGTTCTGGAGAACACCATCTACGAGCTTGGCAATATTTCATTGCAACATAAAACTCAAGTAAATTCAAAGACAGAATAACTCGGCAACATGTAATGCTATCCCTTATACGCATTATGAAAAATGCTCAACTGAGCCCCACAGTACCTAGTTCTTTATTCGGATGTCTTTGTACTAAACTATTTACTGCTGGTAGAGGAGGTCAAGGTCAGCACTGTCTTAAAAGAGAAAAAAAAAGGAGAAAAAAGAAAAATCACGTCAAACATGAGGTGTTAACAAGAAGCAGAATAGTTTAAGAACACGCTAGAAGGTGAGTTGCCAGAAATTCGTTATGGAAAGTTTCCAGCATGCATGTAACAGAAAAAGACGCAAGGAAATAGCTTGTTTGTCTGCTTCTCTTGCATCCTCATTTTCTGAGCGCGCGCTGAAAACTTCCCACAATGACTTTCTAAGACACTCTTTCTAAGTCTTTCAATAAATTTCCACGTCATCCAGGGACAAGCCTTCCAGCCCCTCCCTTTGCTAGTGCCTTACGCTTATACTGCTTGAGTGACATGCCTGGAGTTTCCTTTGGTTTTCCTTGAATGCCTCCAATGGATTGTCAAACTGGCTGTAGTAGTCCAGCACTGTCCGCACATCCTCCACCTCGCTTGTGGCAATAGCTGGAATCAAACAAAGTGTTACAACTTGAGAGAGAGCGAAAAAAACTAAGCATATTCGAATAAATCTGCATCATCCGACATACACCAAAGCAGTGCTGAGAGATTAAATTCTGAGTTTTACATGCTGAAACAATGCTATGCCAGGGCATAGCAGGCGTACACTACCCTACTGTGGCATTTTCTGTCATGTTTCTGTTTGTGCAGCATTTCATGAGTGTACAGTGCTTCTACAATGTTCATCTCTCACCAAGCTCTCAGACCCTTAATTAAGGTACCGATGATGGCAGTATGGCTCAATTATAGCTTCAATACATAGTTGTACCAACACAGGATTTAACTTCAGGCAATGCCAACACAGCAACAGTAACACACATATTCTACCACTTTGTAGTGTGTTCGACTCAGGCATAGCTAAGTGATGTGCACGAGAAAGAATAATGTGCCAGAGTAAGCTACATTTGCGCTGCTGCTCCAAACAAGCAAAAAAAAATTAGAAATAGGATGGCAAGAACTCACTGCGCAGAAACTGGGCCAGCTCAATGAGCGTGCGATCCTCATCACTGCCGTCCCACTTAGGTAGCCGTAGCGCGTTGCGCGGCTGTAACGAGCAGGCCTCGGCACTCCAGTCGACCATTATGACGCGAGAGAGGTCCCGGTTCAGACAGGAGAGGTCCTGCGTGATGTGCACACTAGTGTTCCAACATCAGAGCAGCCAAGTTCTAATGAAGTTCACAACAGAGTTTTAGAACCTTGAAGCAATGAGTCTTGAAGAATCGCACACAGTCACTGCACAGATATATCACAAACGATATATCACTGCACAGATATATCACAAACGATGCCCATGCTGATAGCCGATTACAGAATGATAGCCTTGATCTATTGCTAAATACACCAAAAACATTATGATGCACCCATTCTGTCGTCTTGCAGCCATGTTGTCTGCACATTGGTCACACATCTGGCAGCCTTGCTCGTTAAAGATGTGACATCAGTGCAGTTCTCTGTGGTATCCGAGCGCAAGAAACCCGAGTTGAAGGTACCAGAAGTAACGCTCAACTAAAACATCTAACAATCCAGCTTGCTTATACAGATTAACATGTGTGTGATGTAGGCTCGCAGGGCTACTCGTGTCAGTTACTTGAGTACCTAGGTATACACCAGCAAATGCTAAAAAAACAAAATAGCATGCTCTGATGTTTATTAAAGTTTAACACCAGCATTTAGCCACGTTCCCGACTTTGAAAATTTGTGGCTGATACTAATTCCTACTTAGTATATCATAAGATTCCACTGAATTCGCTCAAACAGAAACGACTCCACCTTGAAATATTAGCTGGCTTTCCCTATGTAAAAAGAGCCACAATAAATAAGCAAGAACATGCTTCCTGCAGTGTGGGTTTGAGATTCCATCAAGAAAAAGAAAAGTCTGCCCTTTTAATTTCTATCACAATGAGGACTTCTGAGGTTAGGCAGAACTTTCTTGAAGGGGAGTAGTAATCTGCTGGTCTAGATAAGTTGGTTTTCTCATTTGTACGTTCAAGCTTGAAGCTATTCGTACCGGGAATCTTAGTCCACAATGTTCATGGGTAGCTTGTAAATTATTGCACAACACCATACCAAGGAAACACAGCACCTATTACAGCATCAACAAATACAAGTCACAGATGAGAAGATCAGATCAAATGGTCTATTTTTTTTCTAGATAATTCATTGACACTTCTCAATTAGTTATGTGGGTGTTTTGGTACGAGAAAGTTGGAACAAGTCCTGACATCCAGATAGGATCGGTCAATGCAGTCAAACAAGTAGCACTGTTTGATGGTGTGAATGTAAAATGAAGACTTGCCTTGACGTGGTGCCCATTTGTGTACCGAGTTGCGTCTCGGAACAATCTGTACATGATGTAGCCCTGAGGATCTAGGGTGTCCAGGATAGGATATGCCGTCTGCAAATCAGTTTAAACAATTAAAAACAAATCAAAGAAGCACCCTACATGCCCATTCACAGCATTATGAATTTCCTAGCAGTGATTTTCAGGCATCATTCGCTCACAGGGTGCCGTGACAAGGGTGACAAGCAAGGCTATAAGGATAATGCATTTGTACGGCAGTCTAATCCCATTGTGGGGAACAATGTCCTCCCTTGTCCTTTCCCTATTCCTAATAAGTCACCACTTTTCACTCCCTTCACCATACAAGTGTTCCGTTCAATGTTAACGCTGAGACCAAAACCAAAACCCTGATTGTTTGTGTTGTTTGTTTGCTCTGTATACATTGGCCCTCCTAAACAATTAGTGGCCAATGTGGCCCTTATGATATTAAAATGTTTCACAGTAAAGATGACCACTGATCTAACTCGGCAGCATTTGCGACATCAACGCTGGTGTGATACAGATAGAGTACAGACTCCCTGTGTCGTTGAAAGCTTTGAGCGAGTATTGTAAATGTCACAGAAGATGTGCTGCCGCACACAGTTCTACAAAAAGCACCCGATTTGGAGGGGAGGGAGGTTTTTTTTTTTTTTGCGTGCCGTCCTTGCTCGCCGTGTTGTCTGGCTGCATGCAAAATCATCCTGGCTGCTTATGCCAGGGATGTTATTTTTCCTGAGGGGACATGCTCTTGACAGTCTAGTGAACACTCAAAAGGCTGAACTCATACTGAAGCACCCATATCGCTTTATTTTTTTAGACTTCATTAAAACTGCACTTTCAACATCACCAAAGCATGAGTGCATGTCATCTTTGGTGCTATCCCGTGGTGAGGCGCTAGTTTATGATTTTAGATTAGCGTTTCGAAGTAATGTTCAAATTGGACAAAATTAATAATGGGAGCGTTTAATTACTATATGATATGTTAGAACATGTATGACTGAATCACGTGATTATCAGACACAAAGCTAGAATTTACAGTAAAGAAGTTACAAGATTTTACTGTCAGGGGTCCTTTAATCTCTTGAGGGCTTCTGCGATACATGTATGGTGGCAGTTTTTCATCCGGCAAGGTCTTTCGACCTTTCATTTGAAACTTCGCGCTATAACCAGTGTCCATGCTCACTGCCACCTCCTAGAACTTGCCAGAAGCTCTGTCAGTGTGCTACCTTCTTACGAAGATAAAAAGAACTGATTCTGCATTGCGCAGTCTGTGGCAGCACCCTCAGATGGTTTCGATTGCGACAGAGCCGCATGAAAATTGATGTTTATCTTTATTAACACTCCTTTGCAGGGGTGGTGGACTTTTCACTGGCACTGCTCTTAGGATATCTATCGGCTAGGGTTACCAAGTATTATTGATCTCGTCAATTACCGAGCTTCCGTCATGTTGCTCAGATGAATGGCTAAGCGGCAACATGGCCAAATAAGCTGCCCGTTTTCTTGACACCGACGGCAATGACTATTCCAACTCTCACACAGGCCCTTGTTTCGAGGAATACAACACTCTGACATAAAATTGAACATTTCGCAGTTCTGAATGACGCTGACACCACAATACCGTTCCTCAATCTTTTTTTACAATGTCCTTCCATCTAAACACATTTTGTGTGATCAAAATCAGCAATAAAGTAGGCTGACTATCTGGGGAAGTTAAAAAAAATTGACCCACAGAGGGTTATGTGACAGGAATAGTCAAAAGCTGAGCAAGTACCATACTTGGCGGCACCTTGTCTTGACATTGGGGCAAAGGCTATTGTGCCCGATTTCAGTTTTGCTCACTCACAACATCAACACGTTTAAAAAAGCACATTATGAACAAGAAAAACGTTTAGACTGTTCAGTATATATTTTAGCGTCTATTATGAGTACATTTTTCTTGGAGAACTAAACAGCGCGTTTGCGGCCGTACACTCAAGTAATGGACGCCACGTTTTCTTGGAAAATGGGTGGGCTGAAAAGGTGGTGCTGTCTAAGAAATAGAAAAAAAAAAAAAGAAACAAGCATTCTTGCAAAGCAGACAATAACTGTATTATACCCTTCACAACTGTATAAGTCTCATGATAAATGAAGCAGTAATTATTTCAGCAAGGCAAATGAGAAAACTATCAGTAAACCTAAGTAAGTAGTATTTCTTGGCGCGGCATCATGCATCTGCTTTGGTTGCGTAGCTTCCACAGTGCTGTCAGAAAAAGTTGTCGCCCAGCATAATAAGCCGTCCTTCCGCAAAACGGATACTCACAAATCCCTGTTCCGAAGTATAGATGACAACTTCGAAGAGCGGTGGCCCAACCTGCTGCAAGAAATGGTTCACGCCGGGCCTCTTCTTGAAACGCCAGCCAGTCTGGTACGTCCAGTCGGGGTGCACCAGAACGCCGGTCATCTCCAGGACTAGCGTGTACGGAGGCTGGTAGTAGGGCTCGGTCAACGGGTCTGGCAGGAGCTTATCGCGGGATGGGTCCTTGATCATCTGCGCACGAGGAATTAATGGGCTACAGCTCAGGATACGAGAGGGATTAGTGATTTTTATAACAATCGCCTTCACTCTTGCTTATGATGAACAAAGTAAGTATAGTACACAGAGCACTGAATTACAGGTCATACAATATAACGGTTGGAATTTTACATTCTAAAGCTGTGATATGATGATAAGGGACGTCGCAGGTGAGGTTTCTGGAAATTTTTATTCTCTGGTGTTTTTAAAGGGACCGACAACTGCCCAGAACATGACATGAGATGACTGCACGGATAGAAATATTGTCCCTCATAGTGACTCAAACCAACCCTGTTTTTTTTTTTTTCGTGAAAAAGTGGAGTTTTATTTTTAATTCTAAATGAAAATCGTGATGATGATGATTTCTGTGGTCTTCCCCTTTATACCGGGGGGGGGGGGGGGGCACCTTTTAGTGTCCTGACCGGAATGAGAAAAAAAAAAAGGAAAGAAAAATCACACCAGGTCCATGAACATCACAATTGTTTACTGTCTCCTTGACCACCACTGTAGAAGCCTTGCTTTGGTTATTGCTGTCGCTGCCGGGGGTGTACGTTAGTATCGCGGCTGTCGCCTCCCGGTGCGCCGCAGTCTTTCACAAAGCCGAGTGCCTCCGTAAGTGTGGCGCCATCTGTCTGATGGGGACACAGGCATTCGCAGTGAAGCACCAGGTGTTCCATGTTCTCCTCGTCTTTCCCGCATGTCCTGCACTGTACAGTGCCGTCGGTCAACGACGGGTCGAAGTGACGGTGATACACCTGGGTACGGAGCGCTCCAGCACGGGCCTCAAACAGAAGCGCACTGCCGACATTATGGATGGATGGATGGATGGATGGATGGATGGATATGACTGTACCCTTTAGATCGGGCGGTGGCTAGCGCCACCAAGCCGTAATACTTAATGAACCCAAAACTATATTTATTTATTTTTCTTAAAAAGTTAATTTGAGGATTCGTACTTTGCAGTGAAGAGTTTAATTTTCACTCATGCCTTGACTTTAGCCACCAATCAGATAACCTCCTTCTAGTTAAGTCTACTTGCTTAAAGTCTATTTTGCCCTCCCGGTCCCTAAACCCCAGTGCTTTGAAAAACTCTGCGCCATCATCCTGAACTATAGGGTGAAGCCCTTTACAGAACATTATCAAGTGTTCGGCAGTTTCTTCTTCCTCTCCACACGCACTGCATACTGTGTCTACCCCTTCGTATTTGGCCCGATATGTCTTGGTTCGCAGTACTCCCGTTCTGGCCTCAAACAGTAGAGAACTACCCCGAGTATTATCATAGATCCTTTCCTTGGCAATTTCCTGCTTAAACGTTCGATAGATCTCTAGTGCGGACTTCTTAATCATGCCCATTCTCCACATGTCAGTCTCCGTTTCCTTCACTTTCTTCTTAACCGATAGTTCTTTTTGGTTTGGCCACCTGCTGTTTTCTAAGTATTTACCAGTCAACTTCCTGGTTCGCTTCCTCCATTTTGTATCAACATTCTTCATGTACAAGTAGCTGAAAACCTTCCTAGCCCAACGCTCTTCCCCCATTTCTCTCAATCGCTTCTCAAATTTTATCTTGCTGCTAGCTTCCCTGCCCTCAAATGATGTCCATCCCATATCACCTTGTACTCCCTGATTTGGTGTATTCCCGTGAGCTCCTAAAGCAAGCCTACCAATTCCACGTTGCTTAATTTCTAATCTTGCTTGAACTTCTAATCTCATGCACAAGACCGCATTGCCGAACGTCAGCCCAGGAACCATGACCCCTTTCCATATTCCTCTCACATCATACCTATTCTAATTCCACAGTGCCCTATTTTTCATGACTGCTGCATTCCTGTTACCTTTAGTCGTCACGTATATTTCGTGTTCCCTCAGATACTCGGTCCCATTGCTTATCCATACGCCCAGATATTTGTATTTATCTGTTATCTCTAGCGTGACCTCCTGTATTCTAAGCTCACTACCTTCGTTGTCATTGAAAATCATGACTGCTGATTTTTCCTTACTGAATCTAAAATCTAACCTATCTCCCTCATTACCGCAGATGTCCATCAATCTCTGCAAATCTTCCTTGTTGTTGGCCATTATGAAAATAACCTGCGGCGCCACCTGGTGGCAGAAACTTATCTTACGTGCCCTGTCATGTGACTGTAAACTAGCGTATGCGGTCAACAATTTTCCTGTTGGTATTGAAATGTGCTTTGCTTTTTTATAGTTAAAGATATTACTCCATAGAAATGTACATATAGGCCTGCGTTTAAAGTATGCATTAAAGTGGCGCTGCCTTCACACGACATAATGATCCTATGCTCGTCGACGCTTCTTGAGCAACTTTTCTGTGTGTTTGTGAAACCGTGCACGCAGTTTCCGGGTCGCTAGGATTTTGGAGTGGCGTGAGTTTTCTACCCACAATTTGTCTCGGAAATGACGTGTACTGCTACTCGGAACGGCCGCGCATATGTGCAGGGACGTTTTCGATGACTTGGCTTGGCTCGTGTGTCGAGAGAGTAATGACAACGGGACAAGCCATCCACGACACAGGCGCAAACAACCTTGCGCACACTCAAATGCAGCGCGGTACAAATACAGAGAAGAAGAATAAAGCCACATTGTCTCATTGTAACATGTTGTCATTTTCAAAAATAGTTTTAAAGCTCAGAATAAACATGGTTAAGTATAGTAACAGGAACTCCTGCAAAAGTATAACGACAGTGTGCGCAAGTCACTAGAAGGACTACCAGCATCGCGATCGATTTTCAGCATCGCTGGACAAAAAGGCACATTCGTGTTCAGAGCCTTTCAGATGAAAAAACACTGCTTATAAAATAACTTTGTGATTTTGGGATTAACTACTGCTCCTACGAGCACTACGACGGGTAAGCTATCTGTCGCGCCGGAAAAAACTGGGTAAAAAAGATCAGTTGTCGGTCCCTTAAATGTGCACTTAAATCTAAGCTCATAGGCCTCTAGCATTTTGCTTCCATTGAAATGCATTTGCGATTTGATCCTGCGACCTTTGTGCAGGCAGCTGTAAACTATGACTAGAGAACCGCGGTGAATTCACATTACAGATTAATCTGCTGTGACAAAGTGGTAAAAAAAAAAGTGGTTGGCTACAACAGGTGACACTATTTCCGTCATGAGAATAGAACACCGAGGTTTGGGACAACAACTACACTGAACGATTCGCTTATGTAGGAGGTCAAGTGCGGTTGTCCAGGTGACGTCAGACCCTGGACTATGGAGTGGGTCTAATCAGAGGCACCAATAGCTTGGCGTGCTGGCCAAAGAATGCTACTAGCATTAAAATGCTGGTTAACTCGTATTCTGAAAGCGGAGGAGTACAACAGAGCGACAGCCATCAGCTAGGACCTGCAGGAGTGATACGCACACAGTTATTCAATAACCATACCACCAAAAGTGGGAATGACAACATCAGTAGGAATGCAGAAATTTAGTTTGCAATAAAACTAATGAGAATGCACCTACTCATATTATCGATTTAGTATTATTACATAAGTGATGGGGCCTCGCCCTGACAAGTTCGCTGGCTTGCATGCTGGAGAAATATGTCTTGCCATATCCAGTAAATGCTACAAGTCCCCATCCTTTGCTCTTTAGATTTTTTGCATGAGGGTGCAAATGCAAGGACTGCGACTTCAGCAGTGCTTTTCTCAAGGGCTCTGGGGGGCATTACGGTGACACACGGAATCAGGTCATAGCCACTACTTGCCAACACGCTTCAAAGCTGGCTGCCACAATAGCACTAGAGGCTCAAAAAGAGATGAAACACACACACACACACACACACAAACATGCGTTTTGATGTAGCTTTGACTTTACAACCTGGTGGGTTTCTGAAAGCAATAATTTGTTTAAAGTGAACGCTTGTCCTGTCTGGTGAACTTTTCGGGTGTGCCTTACAAACGTGCCCAGGTACCTGTTGTTCTAAATCTGGCAGCGATTTCACGTTAGGTAATATATGTGTTGGTGGTTTCATTGTATTCGCCAAAGATTGCGCAACGACACGAGTGAAGGTTCCGTACCTTGTTGTATAGCTGGAGCTCTTTGTATGTCCTGTACAAATGGGCTTTCCAGCGAGGCACTGAAAGGTGTCAGCCATTTAGGATGGGTCATGCGCCTCGCACCAACCTTGCCTCTACTTACTGTGGCTGAACTCATCCTTTATCTGGAAACGAAAGATGACAACAGCATGATCGGACGGGAAGAGGTGTTGTGAACGCGTTAGATCACTCAACGTCAACGCGTCAATCGTTTCGCTCATGGAGAGACAAGCGTCAGAAAAATAAGTAAGTAATGCGTTTCATCAGTTTGTTCTGGGACGACGATGGAACAAAATCAGCTCACCTCATTGCCTTGTTCATCCAAAGGAGGCGCACCTGCAAAGAATTAGGAGTGAGACATCCCGTTCGCATTCCCAGCTCATACGCACCCCAAGAGACAACCAAGAAACCACCGACACCGGTGAACATCGCGCCGAAAGCAACGAACGTGTATTTCATGGCTCGTTGTGAGAACTGGTCCGCTGATCGGCCCGAAGCACCACTGCCAGCACCGCTACCGGATCCACTGCCGCCGGCACCTGCGTCGGCCAAGCCGCGACGCAACGCAGGGATAGAGTCCCACCGCTTGCGAAAGGCAGACCACCGGTGCAGTTGCCTCGATGGTGGCGACCACGTAGACCAGCTCCTCAACAGAGATGGACCACTGCGGACTGGTGTCGTCAGTTTTGGTCTGAGACCATGCCACAAACACATGCACGCCCGGCCTACCGCCATTTTGCACTCTGTCTCGGCTTGGCTCGGATTTGACTCGTTAAGTCTGGTGATGGCAAACCCAAACTCCGAAACCGTGGAGTGCCCTGCGCCGAAATCCCTTTGGAGTACTTGAGAAACCACTATCGCTGCATAGCACGTTGTAACCTTGACACTGGTGCAAATAATGGGAGGAAGGGGGGCAAGCGGGGGGTCAAATTACCTCCGTTCTGTGTACAGACACGACTGCTGGATGGAAAAAAAAAAAAAAAATCCAGCGGTCGTGGTACAGGCTTGCAGGGGCAAGTTTCTCTCTTGGTCGTGCTCAAGTGGAGCTCTCCCGGACCGTACTTGGGTACCGGACTTGCTCAATTCAAGTGCGCGTTTTAAGTCAAGCGGTGTTTACGAACGAATTCGGCGGTTATATTTCAAACATCATATTTGAAGGTCTTTACAGTCATTTATAGCGTACTCTCCACAAAACCAATTGTGAAAACGAAAGAGTTCGAGCTTTCTGAAATGCTCGTCCTGCTTTCTTGTTCCGTGAACAGTTACCAACTAGCCCACTTTGCCAACCTTTGAAATTCTTCACGGAATGCTACAAATGGCTTTTGACGTTCCGCAAATGTTTAATGTGTGAGCTTTGAAATGCAAAGCAAGTACGAAATTCCTGATCATCACTGTTTCTTATGTCGATGATTTGTTATGGGCCATTGACAATGAAGTGTAAATGCTCTTGACTATGACTGTTTTATGTCCAGAATATCACCGGTGAACGTGTGAATACCTTCCAAGAAATATTTCAGATGTAAACCTTGAGAATTGGGCTGGATTAAGTAAAAAGAAATTGCTATATCTTTATGTGTTATCAAAAGTGTTAGCATTTTTTTTTTCGTGGTTTAACACGAATGACATATCTGATAATATGTTAAACCTAAACCCACGAGTTACGCTTAGAGTATTAATTTGTTTTTAGTAGTGGAGGTAGGATGTGGAAGTAGGACCGTACATTCTCAAGTTCATCTTAAGTTGTAATACGTTGCACATAATATAGGCGCCGTTTACGGTGCTAGTGTGCAAAAAGTTGTCACAAAGCGTGCACTTGATTTGGTTTTCAATCGGCCAAATGTTTATTATGGCCAAGCTGGCTTTCTCACGCATTCGTTAACACTTTCGCTTACTTTTTTTCTACTCTTGAAATCAATATGCTAAGTCTGATGCTATGAGGGCCATTCTACTACCAGAAGCGTATGCAGTTTTTTTTTTTTCGTGTAGGGAGGGAGGGGTGGGGGCACATTTTTGAAATGGTCATTTTTCGCTCTGAACAACTGAGTTTTCCTGACAACTGAACAACTGAGGCCATGGTGGAATAAAATTGCGGGGGGGGGGGGGGGGGGGCAAGGACATGGTGTGTTACCCTTTGGCTACGCCACATACCTGTTACTATGAGTAAAGGTGCGCACTTACATCAAAGGTGGTGTTCTTGGTAATATGATTTGAGAAAGAGGAACATAACAAACTACTTTCCACCTATACATTTACTCTTTCGATACGTCTCCTATCTTTGTAGTCATCATCATTGTCACCAGCCTGACTGCGCCCACTGCAGGGCAAAGACCTCTCCGATGATCCGCCCATCAACCCGATCTTGTGCTGTTTGCTGCCACGTTATACATGCGAACTTGTCAATCTCGTCAGGCTACCTAATTTTCTGTCTCCCCCTCATGCGCTTGCCTTCTCTGGGAATCCAGTCAGTTACCCTTAATGACCAGCGGTTATCTATTCTACACGCTACGTGCCCGGCCCATGTCCATTTCTTCTTCTTGATTTCAACTATGATATCCTTTACCCCGGTTTGTTCACTGACCCACTCTGCTCCCTTCTGGTCTCCTAAGGTTACCCCTATCATTTTCCTTTCCATCGCTTGCTGCGTCGTCCTCAACTTAAGCCGAACCCTCTTTGTAAGCCTGTAGGTCTCGGCTCCGCATGTCACAAGAAGACATATTCCTTTACAACTTCCAGCGTCTATCCACCTATCGCAAAGCGCTGTCTTCTGCCTAGACTGTTGCACATTACTTTGGTTTTATGCAAGTAAATTTTCAGACCTACTCTTCTTCTTTCCGTGTCCAGTTCATGTAATCATGAGCTGTTATTCGTCCACCGAGTTGCTCATCGAGGCAATATCGTCAGTGAATCGCAGCTCACTAAGATACTCTCCATTAACTGTTATCCCTAACTCTTCCCAATCTAGGACCCTGAAAACCTCCTGTAAACACGCGGTGAATAACATTGGAGATATCGTGTTTCCCTGTCTTACACCCTCGTTTACTGGTATACCGTCGCTTTCTTTGTGGAGAACTATATGGTGGCTTTGGATCCGCTGTAGGTTTGTTCCAGGCTTCGTCGATGCCCTAATTTCGTAGTGTCTGCATCACTGCTGATCTGTCGACTGAGTCAAACGTCTATACTCGTAATCTATGAAGGATATGTGTTGTGTTCCGCGGCGCGCGCATTTTTCTACCACCTGATTGATATGAACATGGTCTATTGTGGAGTAACCTGTACGAAATCCTGATTGGTTCTTTGGATGATCGAACTCTAATGTCGCCTTAATTCTATTAGCTACTATTTTTGTAAATAGTTTGTAGAGAACGGACAGTAAGCTGATTGGCCTGTAGTTTTTCGAGTCTTTGACGTCTCCTTTTTTTATGGAATAAAATGATCTTGGCGTTCTTCCAAGATTCTGGTACCCTTCCCGTCAAGAGATACTTCGTATATACAAGGTATCCCACACAAGTTGAGTCAAGAATTTGAAAATGAAAGACACTTGAGTGGCGAATCGAACCAAACGTGTACTACTCGCACTAGCCTGTAGGTACCCAGGCTATGTTCTTATTTCTCCCCATACTAATTAATTATTTATCTTTGATTGCCTATATTTTTAATTATGAGCTGGAAACACCAAATATGAACACTGAGCTGCAGAGCACGTTCAGAGGCATCCGACTGAATTGTTTCCTGTGAGATACGTGTAGCGCTGTTATTTTTTTCCGCGTTGTAAAGAAAGCCTAGAATAGCAGCACTATATAGCAGTGCGCTCGCGGTCCGTCACACGGCTTCTTTTCACGTTTCGCAGGCTTCCTTTACAACGTGGAAAAATATAACAGCGCGAGACGTATCGTACAGGAAACAATTTAGTTCGTGGTTTCTGAAAGTGCTCTACATCTCAGTGTTCATATTATGAGTTTCTAGCCCATTATTAAAGAAATTGGTAATTAGGAATTAATAAATAATTAGTATAGGGAGAAACAAAAATAGCCTGAGTACCTACAGGCTAGTCCGAGTAGTATGCGTTTGGTTCAATTCGCCTCCTAAGTGCCTTTCACTTTCAAATTCTTGGCTAAAGCTATGTAGGACACCCTGTATAAGGTGGCCAGTTTTTTTTTTTTTTTTACACAATTTCTCGGCCATCTTTCAGAAGGTTCCTTGTTACCTTAAACTTACCAGCGGCTTTCCCTCTTTGCATTTCTTCCAGAGATTTCATTACTTCTCCTGTAGTCACTGGTAGGATGTCGAATTCTTCTTGGATATTATTGCTTTTTTTACGATATCATCCTGGTTGTATCGGCTTCTGTACAGCACTCTGTAGAACTAATCTCACTCTGTAGAACTAATCAACTAATCTATACATATTGGTTAGGACATTGCCTTACTTTTACCTTAATGCATAAGGGCAATTTTTGACTATGCACAAGTTTGCCTTCACAGCTTTTAGGCTTCTGCCGCTTTTTACAGCTTTCTCGATTCTCTCCGTGCCATCCCTTCTAGAGTCGGCTATACCTTATGCCCATTGACTAGCTTCGACAGCTCCACTAGCTCTATTTGGTCCGTGGCATTGGATACTTTCATGGTTTGTCGCATCTTAATGAGATTTTTTTGTCTCCTGAGATAGTTTGCAGTGTCCCGTCTAGTATTCATGCAGTACTCATATATAAAACATTCTACTCAGTCTTACCATTGCTCCAACGCACTCTTTTTATCTTACTCTTCAAGAATGCGCAGACTTGAAGGATAGGCGAAGAAGTTCTTCGCACAGTTAATTTACATGTTTCACTTGGATACACAGATCGTAAGTATTCGAAACGGACTGCAGTTCACCGAAAGTAGACCAGACCTGTTTTACTCATACTTACGCTTTTAAAATCGGGTCCACAGGAACTTCAGGTGCAAAAATGTCGATTTAGTGGCTTGGGTGCATGGTGCTGCAGAACTAAGGTCGTTGGTGCAATCCAGGCGTCACATAATAAAAAAAAAGAAAAAAGGCCGTGTGTCTTTCGTTGGTCGTTCAGTAAAGATACAAAGGTGACGAAAATACGTCTTAATCTGGTCGTTTGGTCATTTGGTGCAATAAGGTCGTTTTATTTTAGCCAATAAGCCATGTTATATGTATGGCGCATTTCATTGGGAGAACGGAGGGACTCGAAATCACGTTGAAAGTGCTTCTCTTCAGAGCCGGCGTGTTTCAGGCGTCGAACAGGATTATAGGAGTACTGCCGTCCAGAGTTACAGTGGGGGAGTTTTTATTGCGCCGAGAGCAGCCAGCGGTGGTTTGAGGCACTCTCGCCTGAAAAGCGGAGCAGACGTTGTACGAAAGTCAGCTGGCATTCTCCATATATATATTTATTTATTTCGTTTCAGTCGGTGAGCGTGGCGGCAACGGTAGCAACCACGTGTCGTTCGACACCACTGACTGGCAGTGTTGTCGTCCTTTTACACGAGTAGCGACCACGAAGATTGCGAAGCGTACGAACCTGTGTTTGTTGGATTGCGTGGTGGCAGGAAAGTAGTGCGTAACTGCGAATCGTGACAAGGGCGCACGTGCGACCGACGAATTTCCGCAGAAAATGCCGGTGTTGTCAAATGTTCCGATCGCACGGTATATTTCTCGGCACTCGTCACCCTCTCCCCTGCTCTCTGGATACGGGCCGAATTCCAGTGGCGGATAGAATACTTCCCGCTCTCAGTAC